AATTAGGACCTAAAGACTCGTTTCGAGAAATGACCATCACCTTCGTCTTTACTGCATTAATAAAAAGTCAGAAAGACTTCAACAGATAGAATCAAAAGTCCCGGCTGAATTCTATTGTATTAGGTACTTAATAACAACGTCATCGGCTGTTACGACTATCGGTTTTTACGACCAAATATGAGTAGTCCCTTCGACGTCGTTATAACAGATTTTGACTGTATATTATATCATGCTTGTTATTCCGCAAATTTGCGTTTATTTCCGTTAAATAACTTTGAATCATATTTTAGTGTACTGGTTAACTAACTAATAGATTTGCTATAATTCTAAATATAATACGACTGATAAGTACCAGGATAGCATCAAAGGAAATAAATAGCGAAAAGAATTTGCTATTTCAAAGTATGACCGGTAAGAGTATTACAACGATCGGTATCACGATTCTATTAAACTAATCCCTTAGCCATTATAAAGGTAATAAAATAAAATCTATAATAGACGAGCGGAGATTATCCAATCTGTGCGATTTTCTGCCTTAATAAAATTGTATTAAAGGTTTTTATCGATTGAAACTCGGTGATAGGACAACAAGTAAATTCAATTACCTTTCCACAATCAGAAATTTATTTGAGAAATAGCTTTTATTTTACCGATTTATTTTCTTCGTTTGAACGATTTAATATGTTTTTATTTTTAAGCGACTAATAATTAAAGGTAATTTAAAGTTACTTATTTTATTTACAAATTCTTGTCAACGGCATATGTACTGATATATTGGTACATAAGAAAAATAAATACAAGACTAAACGTGACAAACGACAAAAGAAAAATACATCGATTCAAAAATTACTAAAACTAAAGGAAAATTTTTGCCTATTAAAATGGTCAATCTGGATATGGGTGAGTTTTGGCCATAACGTTCTTCTGAAAGGAGTACAGTTACAGAGTTATAAGGTTATCGTGATTTTAACATCTGATATCTAGAAATCAGCTCCATAAAGGTCGATTTACATCAAACGAGCGAATGCTCATTCTATCCCCACTACATCAAATTCTTCTAGTGTAAACAGGCGTAGAGCATTCTTTCGTTGTTCTTAGTGCGTTCGCAAAGATTCTATAGAATATTCTAAGAATGCTCGTTCGCTTGATGTAAACGGCGCAAGAGCGCGCGAACAGTTGCTTAGAGCGTTCTAGCGTGTTCGGACGTGCTCGCGCCACTGAGCGGTCTTTTCAAAGCGTTCTTGTGTTCTAGCTCTAGCTCTATGTTCGTTTGATGTAAATCGATACCTCTAGCTTTCGTTTACACTAAAAGATTACGAAAGAATGCTCTTGTTCTAGCTCTAGCTCTATGTTCGTTTGATGTAAATCGACCTTAAGATATTATGTCCTAGTACATAAATAAACAAAACGTCCTTATTATTTTTAACTCTAACAAGGTCAAAACGCCTGACGCTGAATATTAGACAACAAACAGCAGACACACACAAAGAACAGTGTTGGCCTAATGCCTTTAGCGTGCCATTCTCTTATCCGGTTGCAGGTTCAATACCTGGCTGTGCACCAATAGGCTTTCTAAGTGTAACACATATAACATGTGAATAAAAACATTGTGAAGAAATGGCATGCCTTGGACCCAAAGTCGACGGCGTTTGTCAGGTACAGAAGCCTGGTTCAAGTAGTAACCATAAAAACAAATCAAACAATTAACGTGTTGTGTTTGGTGACAAGTCTGATAACAGAAGATTTAATTAGCTTCTTTCCATTTGAATAATAAGTTAGTAATATTGATACTTTTTATTTTATATTATACACAGTATATGTATTACGCGACTGCACACGGGTATTACAAGTTTTATAAATTAATAATGTTATAAATCAAAGTTTAAAAGAAACAATAATTTATAACATTCACGTCGACTTAATCTAAAAGTTGCTCACTCCAATGCCAAACGTTGAAAGGACCTGAATTTTTTCATCAGTAATTCCTAAACTAGTAGTTCTAATTACTTCACTGTCATTGGACAATAATTAATACGACGTTATTGGTTTGAAATAAACGTGCCCAAACGACGGATTACGATCAAGCAAACGTTTGATTTATTGTTTATTCCTTACATGTCATCGCATCATGCTCAATGTCTGCTATCGTGGTAAAATATAATTAGTTCCACGTATCCATAAAGATGGATGGAGCTTCGCGGCATCTATAATAAAAAAAAAACAACAAAATAAGTAAATTTCAAATGAAATCAGAATTAAAATTGGCAATGAAAGGCGGTCTAAAATCTGACCTCTTCCATTCACCATAGTAAGATTTTCCTTATACCTTAAAAGAAAAAGGGAAACTGCATATAATACGTAGGAAATAAAAGGCTTAAACAAAACAATTAACAAGCATATAATATGAGACACGATATGTTAGAAATAGGATATGGACAAGTTATGCTTGCTAGTTTCGTAGGATTTATTATTCAACTTTTCTTTAATGTAATTTTATAGCTAGTATTAACTCTGCCAGGCATGCATAGATTTTAAGCTTATACGCGATAAGGGCACACGTTGAACTCGGTATTTAGATTTTCACGAATTTTGTTTAATTGATCTGTCGTGACTAGAGAAGTATGAATATAAACAAGTTTTTCTAAATCTAAAGGCCACTTACTAGTGTCTAAATTGTCACGTACATAAAAGTTTCCAGTATTTAAGCTGTATGTAATTTAGACTACAAGTGTGAAGCTAGCGGTAAATTTTAGTTATTCTTGTGCCAGATTCACACTTAGTGAATTAAATCGCTTCTTGTCTTACTAACTAGGGGCCTTGCTGTGTATATTTGATTATGTTCAAGATCCTGTCTATAATGAATAGAATTTTGAGCTAAGTTAATGTACGAAAAGTAGGTTAGGTTAAGAGTCACTAGTAGTGACACAGTAAGTATATTGTAAAGTTATGTGAAGACACACATAGTTTCATGTTTCAGCCTGTCGAAGTCTACTGCTGTACATAAATCTACTAAATTACCGGTTCCCCGCTTCGTTCTGACTCTGTTTCGAAGTTTCCCTCTTTTCCTTACCTCTTCATCTGCCTCCTAGTGGATGGTCGTCCAACGCTTCACAAGTCTGGTCCTCGGCCTCCATTCCAAAAATTGTTTGCCTTCGGTTTTTGGGCCATTTGAACTTATGTGCTTTTTTGGATATCCTAATATCTGATTCGATCGCGTAGGTAAATACTGAGCCCTCTCCATAGGTCAACGCCATAGCTCCTACGATATTGAGGAGAATCTAAAGTAGTCTTAAAAGTTTATGAACGGATTAGATATAAGTATCATGAAGCAGGGAGTGCAGAATCGCCACTTTGCCATCATTTCATATATCAAATCTAAGAACTAAGATTGATTAATTACAGAACGTGCTTGCAAATAATATTTTTGTGAAGTAGTCTGTGAAGGACAGTTTACATTGACAGCTTTCAAATGCACCTCAATATTTCGTAATGTCGGTAATTGTCAAGCAAAATTCTTCATACAGGTACAGTAGCTTCGTAACAAATGTATATTGCTTAAACAAATGGATGTTCATATTTTTACTTCGTTATAACACGCGTTTATGTTCAAAGTAAATAATTTCTATCATTATTCAACTTTGTAATATGTATAGAGGATTTGTATGAACCATTTCATTTATGAATTGTTTTTTAAGCTAATTTTTGTATAGCATAATCTTTCATCATTTAAGAAGTGCTAGTTGAAAATTCTTAGGTGATGTAGATTTTTCTTAGATGATTGCTATGCTCATTTTTTTAAAACAATTTAAAATTTCTAAATGGTACTGCACAAATGAGGTTGTTAGAATATTTTGAATCAATAGTAAGTATTTTTGATGAGGGTACATAATATTTTAATTCGGCCTCATTTATTTTATTCAGTTACTTTTTTTTCGTTTCGGTTGGGTTATGCTAGACGCACTTGAATTTGATAACATTATTTTCAATTTTATTTATTAGTTACGCCCTCAATTTTATATTTTTTTAGTGAGTATTTGTGCGTATTGTGAATTGAGTTCCCATACTAATATTATCCTTATCTATACTGACAATTGTGTGCCTTTCTACGTACGTATTCTTAGGGATTATTATTTTGCATATACATATGACAAATCTCTGTATGGAAAGTTTTTGTCAGCAGATCGTTGACATACGGTTTAAGAGAAAAATCAGTACCTACAGAAATTATTAACTGCAATTATTACGCGCCACAAATTAACTATGCCACGTCCACATGAGTCAGATTTCAATGCAATTCGAATCTGATGTTTGTAAAAGGAGTAGTGTTGGGTAGGTATACCATATCTGTTAGCGGAAAGGGCTGCTGCAGACACGATGTAAACGTTTTTTTATTTTCAATGTTATACAAATGTGATGTTTGTAAAGGAAGATTTATTTTAAATCGAACAGAGGGCAAACCGCAAAGTTATACTTCCGCCCACACACTCTGAATGCTTGGTACGCTCTTTTCTTGAAGGAATCTTAGTCGAATTGTTTCGGAAATACTTCAGTGAGTAGCTGGTTCCATTTAGGAGAAACTGTCTTAAGTATCGCTCAGACTGACTTCGAGGTGATGCGGGTGGAATTTCGTATTTTGCCTTGAGGTCCGATGATGAAGAAGTATTAGAAGAAGTAGTATTCCTTTATGCGACTCTCATCTCATGGTCATGCGTTCACACCCCGGCTAATTTCGTACGCAATTAACACACTGAGAAAGCCGATATATCTGAAGCTCCTGTTGACTTTGCTTACACTTTTTCGTCAAAAATAAATCATAACTAGTTTATAGTGAGTCATACTCTTCTTTTAAAATGAGGTGGAAATGCTCTTACGCATGCCCGTGCGATGGATGTCGAGATTGACGCGGGGACTGTGGGGCTCGGTCTCAAAGCCCTCTGCTATTCATAGGGGTATCGAGACCCTACCTACTACAACACTTCAGCCCTCCGCACGCCCTTAAGATGGGCTCGGGTTTCGCCAAGGCTTTCTACCCAAGGGACCCGGGCTTACATCCGGTTCCAGAGTGAGTCATACTCAGAACAGTAAGAATTCACCTTGCTCTGTGTTATCACAGGATTAGAATTCATAGTCCTTTTGGGCTAAGTATTTACTAATTAAAAGCTAGAGCTTCTGCCAATTGTTATGGATATTCAAATCGCTTAAATTGTATGACTAAGTCCGCTATTTAATTTCAGCCTTTGACCCGAAAAGGCCTATCTAAAAGTATCGTGTCTAAGCACGTACTAATACAAGTATGTTCACGCTATGCCATATCGGTCTTGCGCAGTTCTAACAATGGTTTCAATATGCAATCAAACTACACTTTGTGTTGCGAAAATTCAAATAGCCCGTTGAATTTTATGAGTTCAACTAGTGACTTGAACTTAGAGCGAGTGTATGTAGTTGACCTGGTATTTTTTTTTTGCGTTTATAGTATTACAGTACAAATATCGCTAAAAATGGTGGTAGAAGGGTGCTGTATATATATAATTTATGTTAGCTCAGTAGGATTACGAAATAATTAAATAAGATTGTATATTTCGTTACTTAATACATGGCACTTTACCTGTAGATTCCAAGTGATAAAATCGCAAAGCACGTAAACGTCAGTAAATAGCAGTTAATGATATAATTAACCCAAATCCCACACTTCGTTAACCTTGCCTAATAACTTTGAGCACGTATGATTTTCGCCTAATAAGTCGTATGTAATGCCTAGTATCTGTTATGGCCTATACTATAAAAGGTATCTCAAGACAGTCTTAAAGTAAGATTTATAACTTATAACTCGTATGACGTATAGCGGAGTCACTGAATCTCTTCTTGATTTTAGCAAGCTTTGACAGTTTACTAGTTTTAGATATAGACGTAACATTTATTACTAACAAAACCCACAAAATAATAATAATCAAAAAAATTGAAAAAAAGAATGAGAGATAACAATTATTTCTTTTAAAGAACAAGGTACGTTTTAAGTGTGTGCTGTGGCTGTAATTGGCCCTGGCTCAGCATTATGCTGAGGAGCAGACTGTTCCACAGCGATGGTCATTCTGCCAGAGGAGTTCGTGTATCGTGACAATATTTGCGACCTCAACTAAAATAGTTGTTTCAGTCAATTTACACAAAAACATGTACTGGGGCTTCATTATATAAGCTAAGGCATAATAAAAGTGTAAAAGTGGTTTTGCTATCGGGCATACATTGCTGGCTTTGTATAGGGATTTTGTTTGCAGACTGAACTAAAATGGTTACAAATTTGATTTGCGTGCCTTGTATCAAAAGCCGCCCAAAGTCAACTAAAAATAATTCTATATTATAATCTAAAATAATTCTGTTTTTAGTAGCTACTGAATTATATTACAAAATGAGATTATTATTAAACCTATTTGTCGCAGTCATTATGATAAAGTGTAATGAACTAAGCAACGTAATTGGTTATCAGATTACTCGAATTAATTTAGATTATTTTTTATTGATTATCAATAGTTCTCCTCAATTACTTTGTTATCTGCCAATTGCCGGAAATGTATTTCCGCTCGTTTCAAGGTTACAACTCTAGTAAATAGTAATTATAATTGACTATTCGATATATACTCCACTATCTCGTATTATATATATATCGATAAATTGACTTATTTCAATATTGTGTCCCCAAGCATTATAATTAAGAAATGGAACATTAAAATAAAATGAAAACTAATATTTTTATTAAAATAAACTCAAACTTTATCTCAAAATTATTCATATAGGTAACCAAGTATTAATTGGACATCAACAGAAAAGATGTTAAATTAATTCTAAATTTAAATTTACTTCCAGTTCGCAAGTTAAGGGCGTAAAATTGACTCGAAATGAAGGAAAAATATAACAAAAGTAATAACCCAATAATATTCTTCTTCTGAATCGGTGCGCTCTTGGCAGTACTAACGTGGTTGACTCTTTGAAGTTAATATTTCCTTCACAACGTTATGCCAATTATCACGGGACAGCCTTTCTTGTGAATATGGAGAGGAGGGTTTAGCCAGTCAGTTCAGTCGACGTCATGGGCGATCAACCTCATAGTTTGATGTCCTGCTGCTGAGAAAGCTATGGCAGTACGCAGACCGTAGCAAGTGGAGATCCGTGGTCTCTGTCTAACTCTTTGGCAAAAAGGCTTGAACTAATAAATAAAATAAAAAAATATTATGGACAATGTAACAAACAATTTTTTTATGATTATTATCAATAATTTCACTTTGATAACACTATGCGTAAAGGATGCAGTGGCTCATAATAACACCGATAAAAAACCGGATGTTATAATCCATTTTATATCTAACCAACTATGAAAAATTTGGATCGTCGAACTCTGTTTTGCGATAAAATAACAGATTTTGTTACTGTAGAAAAATTATAATTATATGTATGTAATGTCTTTTTATTATAATTATCATGTGAAATAAATAAAATGTAGTTTTATTTTATACATGAGTATATTTATTACACATTCAATAATAAGTACATATTAGGTACTGAATAACGTCATCGGCTGTTACGACTATCGGTTTTTACGACCAAATATGAGCAGTCCCTTCGATGTCGTTATAATAGATTTTGACTGTATATAAATTATATAAAAAAATCAAATATATAATTTGTTATCGTACTGTGGCATTACTACAGCGTCTATTACTGTTTTAAGTAACTCCGGTTATAGAAATTATGGAAAAAACTTGGACGATAAATTTGTATTAGCTGCAAATTTAGCTCGTACGGCTTTTTGCTATTGGTATCTTGTATTAATTTGACCAATTAATATACACTCTATAACTATATATATAGGTGGTTAAGGGAATATTTTTATACTGAACTTCAGTAGAATGCTATGATTAAAATCGTTATATTTTAGTTGGTCTTTGAAATGTGTTAGCTCTGCAGATGTTATGAATATCTTGAGTACAATTTATTGCTTTGTAAATATAAAAATTATCATTTAATTAACTATTGAAACCTCTTTTAAAATGTGTGCTGCGATGGGAGATCCTATCCATGTTAGTACCAAGTTTTGGATTGGATAACACAAATTTTGTATTCGTCTACGTCACTTTTACATTGATCTAGGCATTACATTAATATTTCCTAAACAGCCTTATTTTTAGTTTATCTTGAAACAAAATATCATCTAGATATTAAAAAATGTACATCTTTGTTTAAATCCCAATGCGTTTGACGATGCTTCGTACTGAATCTAAGGGGATATATGGGACAAAAACTAAAACATTGGTACTTTTAATGTGACCGGATCTCCACGTCGTTGGCTTATTCTATACTAGGGGTAAAACTTTCCGACTTCTCATTATAGAGTACCTACTAGGAAATGTGTAAAATATTTTCCGACCCGTACACAATATATACTATCAATGTGATAATCAATCCTTCTTGTCTTTACAGCACATTGGTGCCATGGAAGATATTCCGCGAGGAGCTGAACAACGTGCATCCAATATCATCAGGGTTGGAAACCATGGCCCTGAAGACCACGATAGATCTCACCTGTAACGATTTTATATCGAATTTCGAGTTTGATGTCTTCACGAGGTATAATTACATCTTTCCTTACAATGTTCAATTTGTGAACAAAAGATTATTATTGTTATTACTTCGTTCCCATGGTTGAAAATGTCATACACCAGGTGTACTTATGTCCAGAAATATAGGAGACGTAGCATATTACTATTGGTATTTATATATCAGCCAGGCGTTAGCTGTACTTGAGCTGCTAAAGATTATAGTACTCCGAACTAAACTTACGTGTTTCCTATTTATTATATTCCCAATGTTTTTTTCTAATGGCTTTGATTTTATGAAACAACATTGTATTTATAGACGCATTTGACGCATCGTTTGAAGTATTCGTAGTATTTACGAGTGTGAAACCTGGACATCAAAAGTCAATTTTTAAATAACATCTGTCTTTAGCTGTTTTTAATAAACAAATAAAATTTACGAAAAAAAATTAATACAATCTATGACTTATATGAATAATGATTTCAGGCTTTTTCAACCATGGAGCACGTTGTTACGGAATTGGCAGCTTTTAGCGGTAACACATCCAGGGTATGTTGCCTTCCTAACATATGACGAAGTGAAGGCGCGGTTACAGAAGTACATACACAAGGCTGGCAGTTATGTGTTTAGGTAAGTTAGATATACTACATTATATTCTAAGTTTAGAACTTTGTGTTTTTATGGCAACTTGCACGCACACTCTTCCCATGTGTGACCACCACCAACTAGTCGAAGTATTTTTGTACATCAATATATAAGAGTCATTCAATTTATTAAATCATTAAAAAAAAAGAAAAATTTATTACACATTTTCTAAAAAAAAAAAAAATAGACAAAGATGACAAAGAGTGTCCATGGCAGCAGCATTAGCGTTAGCAGTAAAATCATCAAAAACTAAAAGTTTAATTAGATCAACCAGGCAGGCTAGAAAAAACTTTTCCTTATCCTATGCACCAAGGGTGCGGGATCAAGACAGCGCTAAGTACGGCTCCTATCATATGGGTAAAGGAGTTTGACGTACTGGCATATATACTACCTTGAGAGTGCACTCTCAAGGTAGTAATTTGACGTGCATTTTTTTATTTGAGTAACTGCTGGTCAAAGTTATACCTCAATAATTTAGTTTTATTAAGCAATTTATTCCTTTTAAAGTTAGTTTTTATAATATTAATTGTTTAGTTTAATATTTGTATTATCTATTCGTGTATGTTATGTTTGCCTATAAGTGCATGTCACATTAAAATTTTTATATTGTGGTTATTTTACTATATCAGTGTACCGAGCATTGGCAAGCTTTTATCAATAAAAATAAAAAAGTCTTCTACATAAACATTAAACACGTCTTAACCATATCCTATCCATCTGCTGCGTGTGATGTATTTTGTATTATAATACTTGTGATTGATGAATCTTTAGACTAGCTTTTTATTTTTAGATTTGTAATTGCTTTTTATTTTTAGATGGAATTTAGTAGCTGTATAATATATCATTGTTACTTGTAATTTTATTTTCGTTAATTTCATTTCTTGCACTTTACCCTGCACTTTTTATCCTATTACTTGGGTCGCCTTTAAAATATCGATAAGGCCGTTGCATCCCTAAAACGGAACGGCAAATCTATATTTACTATGTATTTATATTCCAGGTTATCGTGTACGCGGCTTGGCCAGTGGGCGATTGGGTATGTGACTGTAGACGGCGAGATACTACAGACGATACCACAAAACAAGAGTTTGGTGCAGGCGCTACTGGACGGATATAGAGAAGGATTGTGAGTAGTTAATACCAACGGCATCCGTCAGATTTATCTGTTTCCTGTCAACTGTCAGAATAACCTTTTTGATAGAAAAGTCAGAGCGTGTTGGCTTAAGCGTGCGGTTGGCATTACTATTTATCTGTTTCCTGTCAACTGTCAGAATAACCTTTTTGATAGAAAAGTCAGAGAGTGTTGGCTTAAGCGTGCGATCGCATCAATACAATTTTCTTTCTATAGGATGTTTGACACTTGCTCCTCCGATAAAGGCAAACGTTGGCAAATGGCATTTATTAAACTTGCCAGACATTGTCTGACCTACTTGTCTATAAAAAATATCAAAGAAATGGATTCAATCCGATGCCAAGACACATATAGAAGCAAAATTGGATTATTATTATTATTAATAAGTCATGATCAAATGCATGTTTGTTTGTTCCAATTTTGAGACTGGATCCTATTTAATTAATAACGCCTAACCTGGTATTTTTTGAGTAAGTTTTTAACTGGATTTTTTGAGTAGGTTTTCCTATAGAATCGTTTTTAATTCAATAGTTTAAAAAATATTTCAAGGAATAGCTTAAAAACCAAAAACGCTTCAACAAAAAATATTTTTCTTCCAAAGTGAAAATCTCGGGAATCTCTGAATCGAATAAAACATCGTCAAAGAATATATTAATGTACTTTGATAATATTTTTCAGCTATCTATATCCAGACGGTCGTGACGTGAATCCAGACCTAAGCAGCGCAATCATTTCGCCAGCAGAAGACCATATAACCGTCACACAGGAACAGTATGAGCTTTATTGTGAAATGGGTAAGAATTATTTTTTGTACTAGATACAAATTTATTGCTTGGAAATTCTCAGTAAATTATATTAGTTTTTTTAAATTGTATATTTAAGTAATACAAAACAGTGTTTCCCTGGTGACCTGAGGTCCTGCGTTCGAATCACTGCTGTTCACCAATGGACTTTTTTTTTGTGAGCATTTATCACTCGCTATACTCTGATTTTTAATTCCGTAGAATTCTGACAGCTATCATTTTTTGACAAGTCAGTGAACCTGATGGTATACCTTTTTGGCCGGACACATTTTTCAATTTCAATACGTGTCTGAACATCTGAGTCTATACATTGTATTGTTAGTTAACGTATCCATTCTATTAAGTGCGGTGCTCAACATTAAAAGTGGTTTAACGGCGAGTGGTAATTACGTTCTTCTTCATCACAAACAGTGAAAAACAAACAAAGATAAAATTTTATTTTTCTAAAAAGGTTTACTAAACCTGGAATTAGTAGGCAGTGATGCCAGCTAAAGAATAAAATAAAGTAATTAAAGTTAATTCGATATATTGTTCGTGATATTGAAATATTTTTTATTTTTGTATTAGGTCACTTGAGTAAGTAAATATTTACCTTTTTGTAGGTAAAACATAAAAAATATGTAGCGTTTTTTTTATTGCCCTCAAATCAGTCAAATTTGTCCCTTTTTCGGTTGATAACTTTTTTAGTAGCTACACTTATGAAATGTCAGAATTCTACGGTATTAAAAATCAGAGTATAGAATGTATGACCTTAGATCCAATAATCTAGTTGTGTCAGACACAGAAGGCTAAATTTTACTTATATATTAAGAAAAAAAATATTACGGAAAAAATACAGAAAACTTAGGTGACAGTTCAAGGGGCAAGAAGTTCTTTTTAATTTTATTAATTATTTTATCAATGTTTTCAGGTAGTACGTTTCAATTATGTAAAATATGCGCTGAAAATGACAAGGATATAAGGATAGAGCCATGTGGACATCTCCTTTGTACGCCGTGTTTGACAGCTTGGCAGATTGTAAGTAAATCTAATAATATATTGTATTTTTTTAAACGATTTCAAAAACCTAAGGAGGGGTTATCAACGTGTATTTTTTTTCATAATAATTTTTCAAGTGCCATATTTTGTCTCGTCTAAAATCTGAGATAATAATATTAGCTTAGGCGAGGTCAAACGTGGAAAGCCTTTTAAAAAACGTTTAAAAATAAATCAGTGGCGCTTACAACCTCTTTAGGTCTTGGCCTCAGATTTTTGAATCTGTTTTTCAATTTTTATCTAATAGGCAAGTAGGTGATCAGCCTCCAGTGCCTGACACACGCCGTCGACTTTTTGTGTATAAGACATGTCGGTTTCCTCACGATGTTTTCCTTCACCGTTTGAGCAAATGTTAAATTCGCACATAGAAAGAAAGTCCATTGGTGCACAGCCGGGGATCGAACCTACGACCTCAGGTATGAGAGTCGCACGCGTTAAAAAATGTTTACGATAGAAAAAATTAACTATCTATATCTTTAAAAGCATAGTACCTCCAGAATTCAAAGTTAGTATGGTATTATTTCATAAGAACACTCCGCTGCCTTTGCGTCAAAATTTTCTTGGCCTCCGAAATAAGAACCTTCCAGTGCTTCCTATCCTGTGCCACCTCCTTCCTTCCTGTGGGCCTAGGTACCGCTGGATCGACAGAGTGTAGGCGGACCTGCTGCTGCTGAAAGCTAGCAATTTTTTGACTAATCTAATATTGCCATGCCATTAACTTCAAATAAAAATATTTAAAAAACAATATTTATTTTTTTAGTTTTAGAAGAAGTACCACTTACTAAACATTCCCTTTTCATCTTATTAATATATGCCTTTTTATTTTCCAGGACTCGGAAGGTCAAGGCTGTCCGTTCTGTCGTGCAGAAATTAAGGGAACAGAACAAGTGGTTGTTGATGCCTTTATACCCCCGAGACCGCCGAATACTACGGCTGATGTCAAGTTAGTATATAATTATATATATTTACTAGTGGACCCCACAGACGTTGTCCTGCATGATATTTAAAGCGATTAGGATATTAAGCAAAGTATGAAAGTACCGACTGCAGTGCCATCTGCCGGGCTGATTTGTGAATCTAAACCATTCCCAGATTCCCTTGAACACACACAAAAAATTTCATCAAAATCGGTCCAGTCGTTTGAGAGAAGTTCAGTAACATACACACGCACACAAGAAATATATATATTAAGATAATCGTCAAAAACTGTGTTTTTGCGTAAAATATATCTAAATAGAAAGAAATAAAAAATTGAGTAATTTTGCCTATAGCTGTGTTTTTGTATTTATGAAAACTATTAGTCTAATTGCAAGTAAGATCATCTTTCCCTTTTGATCTCGACAAAAACATAATTTGACAGAAAAAGATAAAATCGTATTTTAACATACCATTACATAACATTTATTACTACCGAAACACACACAGAACACATAAAATAATAATAATAATCAAAAAAGAAAAACAACAAAAAAAGTAAAGAAAAAAAAGGAATAAGGTACATTTTAAGGGTGTAATGTGTGTGTTGGCCTTGACTCAGCATTTTGCTCTAAAGACTTGTTTAATGTGATTAAAGAGAATATAATCTGAGACAGAACAGTATATTATGTACTATATAACTTAAAGGTTTTTGTAATAGTTTTGAAAGCTCATTAGTTTTGCTAATTCATATGTACAGTTCTGAATTTAGATCTTAATTTAGGAATGTATAAGTGGCTTTTCTAAGAGATATATTTATTTTAATTTTGGCCTTCATTTTATTAACAAACATTCTCAACATTTAATAAAATTTCCTTAGGACAGTCTTGCATCGGCGAGTTTCCACATAGCAGAGAAACACCCAATATATATATCTTTATGTGTTTTTCCAGGTTAGCGAACACAAAGACAGCTGTAAGGCCGGTATCTTCAAACTCGTCAGGGTCCAGTGGATCGTCAGGTTCGTCTGCGTGTAATGGGTCAAGTGAGTAGCAATATACATATAAACATATTATATCTATATATTCGTAATATATTCAGTCATCATTATTGAAGTGAAACTTCTTTATCGAGGTTGGAAAAAAATTTAGTGTAACATTTTTTCGTTACGCGTCACATTTTTCGGTTACGCGCCATGTTGCTTTTTAAAGTCAAACTTCTTTATCGGCGTTGGAATGAAACTTCTTTATCGACGTATGGGAGAAATTTTGTAGCAAATCGTCACGTTTTTCAATGATAGTAATAATTCTATTACAATTAATGAAATTCTATAATAATCTTCGTAGTAATAAGGTAAAATGAAATATTTGTATTCATGTCTATGATAATAAAAGCCTTTTGTTAAACTTTATCTAATTTAACGAATTTCTGTAAAGTTACATATAGTAGATCATTTTTCGAAAAATAAGATCATAAAGAAGTTTCACTTCTTACGTGTGTACACCTAGTACACGCACAATTTATTTTTTTATTTTCAATTGACAAGTATTTCAACTTTATAATTACTTCTATTTCCCATACAATAATATAATAATTTGTTATTTAATTATTTCAGGTTCGGAAACGCCTACATCAAACAATGCGAACGGCTGGTCCACAAGGAATACGACGTTTAACGGTCTCACAGATGACATTGATGATTCAGAGGTAAATTTTTTTCATTATACAGATAAAATTTCGAGTAAACCATTTAGTACAACAACAAATGTTACCACAGGACTTCTATGGTCCTATTATACATCCTCACAAAGATGGTCAATACCTGAAGCATGTAAACCTGTGAAATGCAATATTGTGAAGAGGACACTTTATTATACAACCAGTAATGCATTATCACAAACTTTACGATTTTTTTTTTTTTTTTTTACAGGCTTTTTTATATGAAAAATATTAAGTTTAATAAAAAAATTGTATAATAATTTTCTCACCGTAAAAAGGGCAAACACAGTGTTGAAATTTAAATGAATCCTTTTATTTACAACATTGTTACGTTAGCTATTTGAATTTATGCTTGTGCTGAAGGGATAGTACAGACTTCTCCTCTGGCTCAGTGCCATTCATTCAGAAACGCCTTCTAGACCAGTCAGTCAAGACAATTAATTCATAATAATTCCAAAAGTTTTCAAATTTTGATGTAAGGTCGGGAGTGGTATTAAAACAAACTATAAAATTTTGCAACCTGCTCTGCGGTCCGGAACATTGTTAAAAATAAGTTTTGGTCGTGAAAAAAATTCCAAAAGTTCTGCAAACTTGGGGAAGTTTTCGATATAATATTTCATATCACGTATAAAAATTTTTTGTTATTAAAAATTAATGTTTTTCTTTATTAAACTGAAGGAAAACGTTCCAAAAGTTCTGCAAATTTGACAGATATATCGAAAATAAAATAAATAACAAAAAATGTTCCGTACACTTAGGTTGGTTGCAAATTTTATACGTGATATGAAATATTATATCGAAAACTTCCCCAAGTTTGCAGAACTTTTGGAATTTTTTTCACGACCATACAGCAAAAATTAATTTAATTGCAATTTTAACAATGTTCCGGACTGCGGACAAGGTTGCAAAATGAGATTTATTGTCGTCCCAATGTACCATTCACTTGACCGAAGTTTGAAAACTTTTGGAATTATTATCAAATTTTCGATTTCGAATGTCTATAATGACTGGCCTATTCATTTTTATCTCAAGAGAATTAACCTGAACCATACATTATATTTCACTAATAATATATCAATTTAGTACACAATGATCATTTTGGCATTATTAGACTATTTAACGAGTTTATAAATGTTTTAAATTATACAAACCATCTTTTATACAAATGTTATTTTCGCTTTTTGCATGTTTTTGGTTGTTTGTATTAACAATTGTAATGTTTGTCTTTGCAGAGGCGCGACAGAAAGCCGCATGCTTAGTTTGCACGTGATTCGTGATTTTAGCATTTTGTTTACATTATACATTGTATAATGCGGTTAGAAGCTATAATTTTAAACGTTAAATTATCGCATTGATTATATTTGATTTTAATGCGTAATAAATAGTAAAACTTCGGGAGGGTTTTATAATTCTTAATTAAAATGTATTTGAAAATTCGTGAAAAAAACATCCGATTGGAAGTAGAATGATAGACCAGTGAATATTTGATATTATTTTAATTTATTCCTTTTTAAACTAAAGACAACATCAATATTTTTATGGCTTCTAACCGCAAATTTTCATTTTGGATGCATTGTGTTGTACTTTTGTTTGATTCGATTGGCTTTTATTGATATTTTCATATCGTCAAAGATTTTCAGTACTACTTCGTTAAACAGATTTGGTATTCTATGTTGGAATTTTTAAAGTACATAGAGGAAGTAAGCTAGCATTCGTTTTTTAGGTTTAAAAGACATTATTCTCATTAAAAACATAAACATACTTGTCACTTGATGAAAACTAAATAATAATATTAAAAACATAAAAAAAGTTACATATATCACACTACCGTACTACGCAGTTATTGCATTAAAGTACATCTACCAAAAAGGCGCAGGCGTATTCGAAACTGGTCCACTTTTTTGCCGTATCTCAAGAGGCAAGCGGTTGTAAAGACTCGCCCCGAAATAGGTTATATTTTGTATTCGATTCTGAATTTAGGATGTATATTATTAATTGTGCCGGCACAACGTGCACGGCACGACGTGTGGGATTAAAGTTTTTTTGACAATTTTAGTCAAACGAAACTTTTTAAAAGGTATATTTTTTTTAAATATGTTCTGAATCGAACCGGCTTACATTCGATATTTTATCATATGGTTTAAATTATTTACAATCATAAGGATCTTACGCTACCTGATATAAAAAAATGCCACTTTTTTTGTAAAATAAGAAAAAAGAGTAAATTTTTGTATCTATATTTTAGGTTACTTCCTCTACCATTCACCCCCATATATTGATAAATTAATGAAATGAAACAAAAAATGAATGCAGTTATTTAAGAAAAATAAGTCTACTAAAATAAACTATTTAATATAGCTTAGCTTGTTGAAAATTCCAACATAGCTTTGGAGTTTTAAAGTAATATGAGTCATACAATAGTACGAATTTTTTGTATGTTATTGTAAAATGCATTTATGTTAATTATTTTTGGTCTTAGAACACATGGATTTTCGGCAACAGATTATTTCATGTAAATTATGGTAACTAGCAAATACTCGGACTCAACACATTCATACGACGAATCCTTGTAATGAATATATTGACGTCGTGGTCTATATTTTTTTATTTGAGATTTCAAGTCCGACATTCCAGTCGGGAGATAGTCCACGTGTTTTAATGTCATTGTCACATGTCAATGTCACAATTCATGTCAATGTTATTATTTTTCTCATTATGAATATAGTACTCGTGTTGTACGTTTTTTTTATTATCGAGTTACTTTGATGCGGAAGGGTTCAGATCTCGACTCCAGTGGCTTATTTTTTTTTATTGCATGGGAACGTTCATACTTTGCATGATCATTGTTTGCCTCTACGCTTTTTGCAACTAGTAAAACTTAAATTATACAAATGAATGTGCTTTGTTCTTGTATTTGTTATAATTTTTATACATTTTATTTTTCATGACATGAACTTTTTATTTACAACTGTATTTTATGAAATTTTTGGAAATTAAAAAAAAATCATAATAATATGACGATTATTGGCTGGTCCTTAGAATTCATGTTCATTACAGACTAAGAAATCACAATTTTAAATCGAAACCAGTATTTCTTGTGTTTTTTATTAATGACGTAATTATTTATCCCAAGAAGGGTATTATTAGTTATATTAAGTTAGTCATATTTACTTTAAAGTAGATTTAATTTTTTATTTGTCGAATATTTATTTTAAGTATAATTGTTGAAATTATATTTCTTGATGATATTTTTGATTTTTATTTATAATTGATTCATTTTACGGAGGTTTGGTAAGTTTCTTTAAAGGCATATCACATTGCGTTCTTAATGTTTTCAACATCCTGGGAAAATTAGGAAAATATTAATTTCACACTTTTTTGTGGGTATAACTTTGTGTTACTGCAAATTTCTCAAACAATATATATCCCTAAACATAGGGAATCCTTTTTCCTTGTATTTATACAAAAAATAATTGAAGTGTACGTGTAAAATAAAAAATCTGTAAGTGAATTTGCGCTATAAGGAATAGGGGTATATACCTTATCGGTGTATAGCAAATAATATAAGGATATATTGTATACACTTGCCTTATAAAGATTGTGAGTTGATACTGTAAATTGTACTTGGGCCTCTAGAAAAAACCCTATAGTGAATAATACTAAAATATTGAGGGTAAAATTTTGTAAGCTGGATTAAGCGTAGTAATTTTTGAAGTGAAACTTCTTTATCGGGGTTGGAAAAAAATTTAGTGTAACATTTTTGCATTACGCGTCACATTTTTCCGTTACGCGCCATGTTGCTTTTTGAAGTCAAACTTCTTTATCGGCGTTAAAATATGACATATAGTATGTTTTTGACTTTGAAATTTGACAACGGATTACATTTTCGAAGTCAAACTTCTTTATCGGCGTTAAAATATGACAAATAGTATGATTTTGACTTTGAAGTTTGACAACGGATTACATTTTCGACTTTAATTTGCTAATCGCAATTTGCAGCAATTAATTTGTAAATTGTATGCTAGGCAGTGTATCAAAATTTACTGTGTTTTAAGAAATAGTTTCGGACCTCTAAACTTAAAACAAACCAATTATGGCTCTGCGTACAACAAAGGTTTTATATAAGTTTCACTTCTTACGTGTGTACACCTAGTACACGCACACATTTTTATTTTTTATAAAAAACGAGAAAACGGGATGGCATCTACCACATCTCTATCATAGAGTTTGATTGGGCAAAAAAAAATACACTTTCCTAATCACACAATCTATTGATGAGTTGTCGCGTTCATTTTATTTTATAATGTGTAAGTATTATTTAACAGGACTGGGCAGAATTTAACGCGGCAACATCGACAATAGATGCATTACGGCCAGGTGTTAGGTCTGCCGGAGCATCGCCACGACACTCGCCTAGAGCTGTTCGCAAAGCGCCCGCGCCCGCTGAAAACGCGTACGGGGAACTACGAGCGCCGCCTCTACCGCCTCGGAAGAGTCTTTCCCCAGCAGAAACTATTGTTGCAGCCTCCAGTGTACAGGATATTGCTGCTGCTAGTTCTATTAGTAAGTATTTTTACTATTTTGGTATATGAAGTAAGGTGAAGCGCCCTCTACCGTCCTATCGCTCATTATTTCTTCAATAGTCCAGGCTTTTTTATAGATATTTGTTTTATCCGATACGTGAGTCAAGTTGTACTTTTGTTTGATACGTTTAGCTTTTATTGTTTTTTTGTTCATGGAGAAGAAGCTTAAGTAAGATAGCATTAATTTAAGTTAAAAGGGCATTTTTTCAAAGTATGTTTTGAATCTAACCGGCTTTGTATGTACTAAGTTGACAATAAATAAATATGAAATGATTTTCTGGATAGTGCTGGACTTTTACACCACCCGTGGTAATCTTGTTAATATAGGTTGTTTTATAATATGCAAACGTTACACGTAGTTTTTTTACGCCATTACCTGTCTGTACTTAATCCAATTGAAACAAACATTACGTTTAAAATATTTCATAGACATAGACATAACATTTATAACTAACAAAAACACACACACAAAATAACAATAATCAAAGATAAAAATAAAATAAAAAATATTAGGAGAGATATAAAAAAGTACCTTTTTCCATTCGGTTCGTTTCAAGTGTGTAATGCGTGTGAAAAAATAATAATAATATTAGTAAAAGTTAGCAGTCTAAGTAATGAAGTCTTGTGTTAAGGTAGATAGTAAATAAAATAAAATTAAAAGTTATAAACCATTCCATGTAACCTCAATCGAATAAACTCCATAAAACGTCGAAAAGACGATTGGTTTGCCTAAGTTTCCATACAATTACGTTTCCTTTCATATTACGACAACTCAAATACCTCTGGAATTGCGCAGTCCAGTCAATTTCGCTATAGTTTACACAATAATTCCTGTTTTTATTGCATTATGACATCTCTATACCAGCAGCAAGAAGAGTACTGCGTTTATGATATTAAGGCACTTTTTCAGTTCCAGATCCCAGAAGGCGATCATCGTTGGAGCCAGAACCAGACTCAAGGCATAAGCTGACTTCTGTGATCACTGGTTCGACGGAGACCATCACTGGAATTATTGATACCAGACATGAAGTTGTATGTATTTTTATTTTTCACTCCATTGGTTGGTTTCGTATTTCCGAGACAATTTGATTTCAAGAAAAAACAATAGAGTTGCAGTGTGAGCCTGGCACTCTTTGCCTTTCTATAAAAAAGCCAAAATGGACGAAAACGTACTTGGCGATTCAAAAGTGGCGTGAGGTGGAGTTACCTATATGAATAAAGTAATTTTGAGTTTTACCTCTACGTGAAGTTGTGCGAATATATGCAATTTTTTGGTTTGACTTTTTGGCCCATACCCTATTTAACGTATCAGAAATAAAGCAGTTTTTTTTTTAATTTACTTTAATATAAACTTGGATATGGGAGCGTTCAAGTATAACGTAATGAATTTTGGGAGATTGAATTACGCGTTATTGTTAATATTATTTTCGACTTTCCAGTTCCTTAAACCACATAATGGTAACTTTTATATAAAGAGTCACTGGGTGGTCACGAAACGTTTTACTATTGGGTACAGAAAATGTTACGGCGCGTTACATGGGGGTGGGGGCAATAATCTCCAAAAATTGCGTGACGTTATACCTGAATGCTCCCTTATTCAATTATTAAATTTTCGTCATAGCTATGATGATATAACAAAAATCAAACCCCAAAACCGTTTTAAAATGTATTTTTGGTATTACCCAGATACCTCCCGACCCGAGAGCCTTCGAAAAGCCTCGAAGAGCATGCACACCTCAAGCAAACAGTCGGCCATTGCCCGCACCCCCTCCGGAAAGGCAAGAGGAACGAACAGAAAGACAAGATAGACACGTGCAAGACCGACTCGATAATCGATTGGATAATCGAATAGAGAGGTCAGAAAGATCGAATTCGGAGAATCGAGTTCTTGATCGGCATATGGATTTCAGACCCCCAGAACGGCCAGACAAATCAGGTATGTTTTAAGTTACTAGATGATATACTAATTATTTTACAAATTGTTGGCATTTTAATTGCCACCAGATTCAATAATTACAAGAATTATTTATTTTCCTTATTTCCTATATAATAAGTTGAGCTTATAAAAAAAAAAAAAAACATTTTATAAACTGCGAAGCTTGTTATTAATAAATTAAGGGGTTAGAAATTAAATTATAATTCATTCATTGAATTTGATTTTGTCGTTGTTATTTTTGGTGCGTTCCACTAAGCGCTCACGACGATCACGCTCACGACCGCTGATTTCCCCATTCCACTTGATTGTGAATGTTACTGTCGTTAACTCAAGTGGAATGGATTATGGAGCGTTTCGGGTGTTCATGTAAACATTACAAGTTTGAAAATAGTAGAATTTTAAGGAGGTTAGGTAATCATAAACAATAAGTTTTGATATTTGTGACTTAAATTTATTTATGTTAAAAGTGAAGAATAATTGAATATTTTATAAATAATTTTGGTGAAGTTATCAAACAACTTAAGTTTAAATATAATCGAAATGGCTTTACAATTTCTCTTTCTGAATCAAATAATGTGATTTTTCTTGTCGCCATCTTTAAGCTTTGAATATAATAATATTATTATTTGTCATATTTCAAAAAAAAAATTCAAAAGTTGCGCCAAATTATTCTCAACGTTCACAACGACCCACCTCTTTAGATGGGTCGTTGTGAGGATTGCGTGAGCATTAGTCATGACGTCATGAGTGACGTTTTCGCCGTGACCACAACGACCGCGGTCGGTATGTGGAATGGCTAAAGGAGCATTTTGATCGTCGTGAGCGCTTAGTGGAACGCACCATTTATAAGCTCCGTGACAATCTGACAATGGCAGCTGACAGTAACAAATTCAAATTCAAAATCATGCATTTAAGTAACACAATGTAAACTTATGAACGTCAATAAAGAAATACATATTAAATGCATATAATTTTACATTTCCCAGTTCTCAATTCCAGTTCTCAATTCAATGGCGTAGAACGGACGAGAAGAACTGGCAATAAATTCTCTGCCACTCTTTTTATTCGCCAAGTTTTTGCTTTTACAAAATGTTTGTAAGCATCTACAACCATTACTCCATGTTCTACATGACTTCTTTAAGTAATTAATAGTAAAAAGATTAAAAAAAACAAAGATTTGTCCCCTTTCAGCTCTATGTTGCATACATTATAAATTACTTTGAATAATAATAATGTCTATGGAAGCACTATTATTTATCAACTATTGTTAGTCGTTAATTAAGAGATCTAGTAATGTTGACAAATCAAATAAATTACTAGTACTAACGGTTTCGAACTAACTTGACTATTTTATAAGCTCTGTGTCATAATGACAATGGCAGTTGACACTTGACAGCCACCTAGACAACCATGACAGAAGTGATTGTTACGACACGGCCATGATGGGCGGTGCATTTAATGAAATGAATTCAATAATTGTGTGATGACTTGCAGCTAACAGTTACGATATAGCTTTAGATTCAAAAAGTATTGGATTAGTCATACGAAAGTCTTACGTAACGCCATACAGTCCCACTTAATTATCACAAAAATATGTCGGAAATATCTGCGAACCTGGCTTAATGACGTCATACAAACTGGAGAGATAGCAAAAAAATTGAAGATGTAAAAATAAAAAATATTTTATTTGTGTACTTATTTTTAAAGCAAGAATAATACACGTGCGTCGGCGATTGCGTTGGCAACGGTACTGGATAGGCGAAAACGGGGCGGGGTGCGGGGAAGCGCATTCCAGCGAGGTTCGCAGATATTTCCGACGTGTAGTACATTCAATTTGATTTTTACAGACCGAATACAAGAAAAGGCTAACTTCGATAGAGAACATCGAGCGCCCCCACGTCAAAGATCGCTCCCGTCTTCAACGACTACGGATCATCAACCAACGAAGTCCACTACGATGCCTAAATTCCCATCAGAGGATGTGAAGGACCCGCCATATGAAAATGTCGGCAATGAGAAAAATGAATTATCTGTTGCATGTAAGTTTTTTTTTGAAAGTGAGGGTACCTCATAAAGACACATTTTTATGTTAACATAAAATAAATCAATGGCGCTACAACCTTTTTAGTTTTGGGCCTCAGATTTCTGTATCGGTTTGATGATCATTTGTCAATCTAAAAGGAAAATAGGTGATCAGCCTCCAGCCTGACACATGCCGTCGACTTTTGCTGTCTAAGGCAAGCCGGTTTCCTCACGATGTTTTCCTTCATCGTTCGAGTGAATGTTAAATGCTCACATACAATGAAACTCCATTGGTGCACAGCCGGGGATCGAACGACCTACGACCTCAGGGATGAGAGTTGCACGCTGAAGCCACTAAGTTAACATAGTTTTGACAAAAATAATGATTTATTTGCAAGACTATGGTACAAAAATATTATGGTGGTACAATCTAAAGTTCGCATATTCTGCCACACATCATAATGGCGTGCAAATTTGTCTTAAAGGGTAGAATATAAACAATTACAGGTAAATTAGCTTGGAGAAATTTTTGCGTTTGTAGTAGTGTATGGTCAGCAAATAAAAAAAAAAACAACATTTTATTTTTAGTTTTTATTTTTTTAAAGGTAATATACGTTTGTGGCTGGAGCACACCAAATGCGTACACGTCTACGCATACGCACTACGTACTAATACGGACGTGAAAATGTGTATCCACTGCATTGTAATCTATGGAACTGTATGAGGCAGATAAGCCAGTTCCAAATATTACAAGCAGTGAATGCCGGTTTTCACTTCAGTGAAGACGTGTATGAATTAGGTGTTCTCCGGCCATAAATGTTTTATTCTAATAATTCATCAACCCCAGGCATATCACAATCATCCCCATCCTCGCTTTCATCAGATGAATTATTTAAATTAATTATGATTCGTTCTGATATTGTGTCTAAAGCTGCGTCTCTACCCTGATATTTGTTTTCCTCCTCAATAGCATGCAGACAAACTTTTCTCCATTCCTCTACAGTTATGGCGTTCATTTTTTCTTCAGCTAATGACATTATAACCTTCATATTCATTGCGACATTCTTTTTTTGCGACATATGTTTTCACTATCCCCCATATATTTTCTATAGGATTAAACTCCGGATGGTATGGTGGTAAACGCAGCACAGTATGACCGTGCTGTCGTAATATTTCGTCTATCTTGTACTCTACAAATCTCGCCTTGTTTTGCAGAATCAGTTCATATAATTGAGGCTTAAGCAACGTGGATGAATGCTCAATGTTTCGCAATGTCAGCCAGTCAATCATTTGCTGTTTTCTAGAATTACTATTCGGTGCAGGATTTTGTATTGAGTTATGATATGGTGCGTTGTCAACAACAACAACACTATTTGGTTGTAAGTTGGGTATTAATTGAGTTTGAATCCACCTTGAATAGTTGTCATAGTTCATATTGTCGTGGTAATCTCCACTTTTTTGGTTGGCTTTAAACATAAGCAATGCATTTGGTATAAAGCCATCCATACCACCGGCATGAACAATGATTAAGCGGTTGCCTTTCGATATATGTTGCTTCAAACCTGAAGTGCTTCCATCTGACCAAGATTTCGAGAGGGTATGTGATGTATGTATATATGTTTCGTCGGTGTAAACAATTGGTCGGCGTTGTTCACGATATTCAGCAATTTTCATCAAATAATTAATTCGCAAGTATCTAATTTCGTGTTTTTCCATAAGAAGTTTCCGGTTATCTTCTGTTTGCTTCCAATTAAAACCTAATGACATGACGTGTTTTCGTAACGTGCTGACACAACCTTTATAATCGATATCTTCTTTTAATTTTGCGTGCAAAGTTTTCAAAGTGGGAATTTCTTTATTTGTGATGTGGAAGTCATGAATTGTTCTTCTGATAACTTGCTGATCAAAGTTATCGATTACTATTGTAGGTTTACGATTCGGTTTCTTTTTAGGAGATTTAAATGTTACTTCCTGATCTGAAGGTCGACATTTGCTTTCTGATACTACCTTTCTGACGGATGCTATTGAAATTCCCGTTGATTTAGCAACTAATTGAGTGGGAGTCATAATACTGCTCGGGTTGTTATTACACTCATTTTCGAAATATTTGTACAAACAGTACAAAACTTCTTTAGTTTGAGAAGTCAAAGGCTTGCCTCGACCATGTTTTAACACTGGAGCCATTTTTAATTAACAATATAAAGTTGCAACACTTACACACAAATTAAACACTTCAACAAATATTATAACAATAATAACAAACAATAACAACAATCAACAAATACAAAATTTAACAATTAACGTAATAATTATAATTTTTGAATGAAATGTGTGCTTTATGTTCTAACAGTACCAAGCGACTGACGCCGGACTGCACGTGGCACCTGCGGACAGCGTAAACTGGTTTATTCTGGTTTTGTGCGTGTTTCCACTTTCCACTATCAAGTGACGATTTTTTGCTTTAGATTGAAATATCTCGGAAACGGTGCGTCCTAGGCCAAAAATAAATTTTGACCCCCCGTAGACCCCCGGAGTTTTAAAAACCTAGATGAAAGGAAAAAAAATATATATCGGTCTCTCCTCTTTGAAGTTTCACTTCTATCGTGTGTGAATCGCGCACACACCTTTTTTTTATAAAGTCAAAACCTTTTTTTTTAAATAAAAACTTGTTTTTATTGATAACAAAAATCAGAGTGTTGCTAGGGATAAGTATAATATTAAATAGTAATGTTAGGATATCGAAACATTTTTGTATAGGCCAGAACGATATAGTGGAAACGCGCTCTAAGATCTGAGTAATATACACACCACTACATATGCAAAAATTTCTCGAGACTAATTTCACTGTACATTATAGTCAATTCTTATATTATTTTATCACTACATCATCACATTATTAAAATAAATTATTACGTAATTAATATTAATTATAATGTTACACGCAAATAATAATTAATATAATAATACGTTTTTTCCCAAAGTAGTACATTAATTCGATTCATAACCTCTAGTAGGAAGATCTTTGAATGTTTTTGGTAAATTATTATAAACCTTGATTACCATACAAAAGGTGTTTTCCCTATACAATTCCAGATAAATTTTTGGCACAGCCAATTTCTCTCCAAGTCTACTTCGACAGTGGTGGTGGACATAATGTATATAAAACATTTTTTTTACAGCTAAGAAAATAAACCCGCTGACACACGACAAACACGGTCGCAAATACAACGAGAACGTGTCATATGAAAACATAAATCTCGATTACATCGCGAGGTTGGTCGACGAAGGATATCCCAAGGAGATCGTAGTTAGAGCGTTGGGCATTACGCGGAATGATCTAGAAATGGCCTGCGATATTCTACACGAATTCGGCACGAAGGTCCCTAGTAAATGCTAGAAATGTATTTTTAATTCAACTGTTCGCTTTAATAGTTCTTATTTTCAATAGTCTAAGGTCCATAATCCCATCTAGTCTTGAGCGATGTGATGTGAAACTATAGAAACTCAATTTTAATTTTACATTATTAAAATTGTTTAATGTTAAGGGAGCGTTCAAGTATTACGTAACGAATTTTGGGGGGGGTCCTTTTGTAAAAGTTTACGATGCGGGGCGGGGATTAAATTACGCGTTATTTTTAATTATTTTCGACTTTCCAGTACTTACTATTGGGTACAGAAAAACGTTACGGCGCGTTACATGATTGGGGGTTTAATAATCTCCAAAAATTGCGTGACGTAATACTTGAACGCGCCCTAAAGAAATATGCAGTTAAAAATCAAACGTAACAGGCCTGTTAAAATGTCTGTTACCAGTATGAACGAGTCGTAATTTTATAAATGTCAAATTCTTGTCAAAACCGTACTAACAGTGGTTTGTTCGGGCGTTGAATCGAAAAATATGTGTACCTTCTAAATTGTATAAATACGTTATTAGCGGAATTAAAATTATTAAAACACAAATGTTTATATGTAGGAAAATTTGAAATTATTTTTGATTAACTGATGTACAAAGTTAACTACAATTTATTTCCAATTGCTCTTTACACTGTTAAAAGTGCTCTACATAGGGCTTTTAGGTAAAACAGTGTTATAAACTGATTTAGTTTTTATTAAATGAATTAGGTTTACATCACCTCTAATAATCTATATTAATCGAAACCATCGTACAGAACATTTGATCTAACATTTAAAATCACAGACTGCACTGTTTCGTTATCTATTACTTTATTTCTCTCCCTTAGAATTTTTTTTTACTATGATAAAATAATCATGCTTGATAAATTTGGGAAAAGGCCCAAATCTGTTAAATTATCTGCGTCTCACAATGATGTGTCGTTCTAGTAGCCAACAGCTATCTATATACGATGAAACAAACTATTACCGCTATTTCAATCTCAAATGGTTTAAATGGGAAACTCAATACAACTGAACGTTTTTAATACTTTGTAGAACGAGCCCGTTAAGCCAACAATACCGCTAGGGTTCAAGTTGAACTCATTTTTAAGGGCAATAACGTAACCGCGAGTCTATGGGCGGTGGTATCGAGTAACATCAAATGAGTCTCCTGTCTGTTTAACCTCTGTATATTAAATACTTCAAAATAAACAAAAGACGAAAATACTCACTTCGCATCAAACGGTATGATTTGACCAATCTCAAGCGAACCTATTCGTCTGTTAAAACCAATTATAATCATAAATTGAAGAGTGTATCGTTTTTTATATTAATTTTAATACGATTTCCAATTCTCAGTATTTGTATTACTAAGTATACTTAACTCTGTACATAATATATTTTCGTAAAACGCTATCTTATATACTTAATAGCTGTTTAAATAGTCTATATTTTTCATAATTACGTATATTTGTAATAAATTTTGACACTTTGACTTATGATATCTGCAATATGAATAGAATTAAACTATCTCTTATTGTACTTCTCGCGTTTCCTCATCAACATTTGTTTTTGAGGTAAAAAGATTATTTCGAAAGGATATATAAAGAAAATCTTGAAATTAAAAATAATTTTGTATTTTTTTCATGTTTCCTTTTAGATGGTTTAAAAAGGTTTTTAGGCACCAATATTAATAGATGTGATTTTTGAGCATTTGCCTAAAATTCGTCGTGAATGGTGCTAGTGATATCTCTCCAATTATTTAAATTTATAATCAAACTTTATTAGCTATTTTTTGCAAGTAAAATATAGAATCCTTGTTAAATACGTTAAGCTTAGGTTTCCTATAAAAGCGTTGCCGTTAACTAACAGCCGTCATTTTACTGTTGTTAATAACGGCCGTCTTTACTTTTTAACATAATGCAAAAAAACAATCATTTTCGCTCGTGCAAATCACGTTACCACTCATTGTATTAATTAAATATGGGCACCGCTACACGCGAAAAACGTTGAACTACTGTTTATCACCGCTATGACGGCCGTCGTGCAAATGACAGCACCGCTATTTGACGTGACGTTACGGTGACACTCAACGTTCTCTAGAAAACCTACTCCGATGTTATTTATAGACAACGTATGGGTGACGTCACCCAAGGCTACATTACGGCCGTTAGATAACGGCAGCGCTTTCTAGGAAACCTAAGCTTTACTATACCTTGCCAGTGGAGTTCAGATATCTGTGCCATGCAATCAGGACTTTATTATTATATTATGTAATGTTCTTATTATGTGACAAGAAAATTAATACGACATTGGCATGCCTATTTTCATATGGCTGATTGTGCGGATTTTTATATATTTTTTAAAATTAATCTACCTTTCATGTATATGCGAAAAGTACACTTGAGAATATGTAAATATTTTGATATTCTTTCGACAATATTCATGTTGGACGTTTAGTTAAGATGGAGCTTATGCTTATTTTATAAGAAATTCTAAAACTAAAAACGTGCAATTTTGTTTAAAGCCTTACGGTTTGGTAACCGTTCGAAACTATTTTTAACCGATAGTTAATTTAAGGACTGACTTGTTTAGTGCGTATATTCTCGGAAAATAACTACAAATTCGTCGTTCGTTTTTATTGTTAATATTTCTTATTTAAATGTGCTCTAAATATTTTTGAAATGTAGTTTTTAAATGTGTAATAATGTTGAGATTCGGCAGCTCATAATGGTCTAATAATTATATTATAGTGTAGTTCTAACCCACTGATTTAGGTATTGAAGTGACATATCCACCAAGTAACTAGTCAAGCTGCATATTTTCCATAACAAAATTAGTTGTACCACGGATATGGGTTTCACTCAATTACTCACTAGATGGCGGTGTTACACAAAATTTACGATGTCGCTAGATGGCGTTGCATTAAACTTGTATATTGTTAACATGGCCTAATTTCATGTCTGTTATACAAAATATATAATGTTCTGCTAATTAAAGTAATTTATTTTGTACATTAGAACTTATTATGTTTTTATTCCCAACTCATTTCCGTGGTATACAAATATCGAGCTCTTAGGCTGTGTGTACACTTATATTAAAATTAATCTTGTTGTTTAGACGTTCAATAAGTGTATAGAGCCCTTTAATTTTACTAGACGCATGTTAAGATTTTGCACCTATGTATTACATAACTAAATATTTAAAAATGCCTTTTTAGATTTTTTTATTTTTTCTAGCAACCAAACTATTATGAATTGGTAATTAATAAATTATTATTCAATTGAATTGTGTTTGATACTTTACTATACCCTTGCCCCCTTTAAAGAAGCCTTCGTGACGCCCATAACGGGCAGTCATCGCAGCCATGAACACCCATTTTAGTTGATGTGTTGCCGGCTTTTGATGGAAGAGTATGCTCACTTCTTATCCAATTCGAGGCCGTATCTCCCAAGGAAGACATACACTGAGAGTTAATTCCACAGTTCGGTAGTTTGTAAAAGAAAATGCCTAACGAAGTAGACCGTGGAAGACGTCTAGCCATCAAGATTTGAGCCATTGTAGAACCAATGGTTACAAACATTATTAAATGATCACATTAAATTTTGACACTATATGTATTATAACAATTTCTAACTGCTTTAATATGTGATGAGAAGCAAACATTTTGTTATAACGTTATTTTGCAAATTCTTCTCGTTCTACGCATTTGATTTGAGAACTGGCAGTAAATTTAGAATCATTGTTTTTTTTAACGACTTCATTAAATTAAATTATTATTTTATTTATTTAACTGAAGGACAAGATCAGAAGTACACAAATAAGAAACAAAACAAAGGTTATTGATGCACTGTCCTATTGCAAAAAACTTAAGTGGAAATGGGCGGGCCATACCGCTCGAATGAATAATGGCAGATGGACAAAGATGCGTGGTCGCCCTCTTGCACGGTGGGCCGACGAGCTTAAGAAAGTTGGTGGAGAGAATTGGAAGAAAAATGCTCAAAACAGAGAGAGATGGAGTCAATTGGAGGAGGCCTATACTCAATAGGAGGTCCTTGGGAAAACATACAATAAAATACATATATGTGTGTGTGTGTATATTTTGTAACTTTTTGTAAATATTATTTTGTAACTTTTTGTAAATATTATTTTGTAAATTTTTTCAAGGAATAAATGAGGCTTAATTATTAATTATTATTATTATTTTTAATATATAAGACAGTAAAATAATAGATTTGTTACTATTAATACTTATACAATGCAATTCTAAATATGTAATGTCGAAGTCGCCCAGTCAGTAATTAATTTAATATTTTAACGACTCTTCGAATTGCGCATTAATTATCGAATATCTCGGTACCGTATCGTTTGAATTTAATTTCAATTTGCTATGCACACTTTCATAGCCATCGGAATTTTGTATGTGAGTCATGTTTGATATTTTAATGCCGCAATCCTCAGACCATTTATAACAATAAAATGGCCTCAGGAATAGGTTTTCCTGATATTTTTTAATCCACTTCAAAGGAAGTTCTTAGAGTAACCAGGATGTGATATTGTTGAAATATACATTTCTTTGCAAAGTTACTCATATCGAGAAGATCATGTTTCTCAGGTATCAACTTGGGGAACAGTCAAAGTTTCATTAAAATCGATTCAGTAGTATCCATGCATCTCTTGGGATTTCTATAATATAGGTAACACTATATTCATTTTCATATAACAGTATAGCATATATATTTGCGTGAATAACACTTTGGTAATTGGTGCCTGACACATGCCAGTGATTTATTAGCACTTAAATGTTATACTTTATCCGTAGTACGAGTATATATTTATTAATTTAATAAATATTATTTTATTGTATCGGTTGTATTACTTTTAATAAAGAGAAATTTAAAATAAAGTAAGATTAGGCGATGTTTGTTCTACTAGCGATACTAACATGGCAATGAAAATCACCAACCGGTGTTAGTAAGTTACGGGAACTTAAGACTTATAGATATTCAGGGTATGCTAGAAGCGAATGCTTCACATACAGTTTCTCGTTTAATTAAATTAAATAATGAGATAGTTAATTCTATCTTTTATTATCAAACTAAACTATAGTAAAAAATAATACTTGTAAATAGATTTTTATATTGTTTTCAAAATTAAGTTCCAGGTCCAAGCAGTAACATGCCAGTTTCCAAATCACATAGATTTACAGAAAATTGAAGAAATTCAATATAGAAACGAGAAATACAATGTACTCAAGCCAACCGTTCACATGGTACGTGATCACTTCAAAGACGTAATGATGCAACGAAGAAATACCTTCCCGACGGGCAAATTATTTATGGATAAAAACGGCTTTCGACATTTTTGGAAAGGTCTAGAAATCATACCGAATTTACGGAAAAATATCCAAGCGAAAAACATAAGTAGAAATACACGCAAACAACCAAATCGCAAGAAAAAGGTTTTGGAAAAGGTGTTTTTGCCGAATATCATGCCTAAACAGATGAGGGAAGGCAGTAATTTGGTGAAAACTACATTTTTCTGCCCATTTTTTGGTATTATGACCATGTTGACTGATGTTAACATGGAAGTAGAAGAACCTAAACAAGAATAATGATATATTCGACTAACGGAGCTAAGAACAGTGATTATTTGATAAAATTTTAGACTTTTATGCCTAAACTGGTGAACTGCTTTTTTTGATTTTGAACGACTCTGTAACTTAACTAAAACTGAAAAAATATCTAGAATATGACAATAATAATACAATCGATATTTAATAAGTGAATTCGGCACAAGTACAGTCAGTATACATTGGAATCTCGTCAAAATGAATTCATCCAAAAACATTGCAACATTTTATGAAGTTATAATATTAAATAGATAATATTACAAATAAACAGTAAAATCCTAGTACATTTAGTGATTTTTATCTTCAGTACCTGAAAAGAAAAGCTTGCCGAAAATTAAAAGCTGTCTCAACGAAATCGTCCTAAATGGATTTCTTTGCATTATGGTTTCTTTTCTTCTGAAAGATGATTTAAAAATCGTCTGTTAAACCGCCTTGTCATATACGGATCATCTTCATCAACCTTATACTCATCAAACGTGTTAAGAAAACTACTGACTGCAGTTTTAAACGCCCGTCGATAACTCGTAACTGGCATTCGTCGCCGTAAAGTCACAACTGGTTCAAAGGGTATTAACATACCCGCGGCGGTCGCTATCAACGGCATGAAAGGCGCAGGAAAGTAATAGGAAATAATTTCCATCACGCCATTCACAATACACGTCCCAATATTTTTCAGTACCATAACGACTTTCGGTTCCGTTATGAGCCTGGCTAACGGCGCCGTTAGAATTCTGTAAAATGTAATTTTGTATTTTGGTACGTCTCTCTTTTCAAATGTGACCTTCTTGTCTTTTTCTGTGATGTCAATCTCCTCGGATATGTAAGAGAGTTTCGATTTGTTAATATGTGTAACTGTTTCCGGCTTTTTTGTGTCGAATTGGTCGTTTATTTCGGGGGCTTGGGGCTGTAAATGTTATAAATTACAATACTTTGATTATTTAATCTTTAGTTTCATCAACAAATTTGATGTATTTATTAAGTGCACGTAGCAATTTTTGAATTAAAATGCCTATTTTAATTATTTGATGTGTGCCTCATACAATGAATGAAATATTTAATCTTATTTATTTTTGTTTTTATGCTTTTGAACTAAGTTACAAATGCTGTGATAAGTTGTGATGTCCTGGAACTTAATAGGTACAAAGTATTGAATGTTGTTTAACAAACGAGTATGCAAATGAAAATCCATTTGGCATCCCAAATTCCCTTTATGCCATCAAAGAATTACTCACCGCCGCCATAAAAAGAAAAGGGCAAAGAGATAAAATAGTAAATAGCAGGAGAGCCATTTCAACTGAATTTTCAGTCACATCTCGAGTCTCTTTGATCGAGAAATAATGTATTATCGTAAAATTGCTTTACGAACTTTTTATGTTTTGTTTATTTTATTGCATGTTACAGAATTTAAATTACTACTATTTTACAGTGCAGTTTGAAACTGGAAAATATTATTCTGCAATGTAAGTATGAGTAATAATATTGTGTACAGGCTGTTGCAAAAATATACTAGAGAAAACTGTTTAGGAAGGTACATAAAACACTTTTGAAACGAAACTTCTTTATCGGCGTTGGAAAACATTTACCGTCACATTTTTCGGTTACACGTCACATTTATCCGTTACGCGCATCTTTTTCTTGCCCCTACCACGGTTGATATGAAGAGATTCGAAGCCATTAATAACTAAAATATATAAGAACGATAACAATAATAGTAATAATTCTATTACAATTAATGAAATTCTGAAATAATCTTAGTAGTAATAAGGCAAAATTAAATAATTGTATTATTTGTATTCATGTCTTTGATAATAAAAGCCTTTGTTAAACTTGATCTAATTTAACTTTATTTAACCAATTTCTGTAATATTGCATATAGTAGATAATTTTCGAAAAATAAGGTCATAAAGAAGTTTCACTTCTTACGTGTGTACACCTAGTACACGCACACATTTTTTTATTCGATTTATTAAATGACTTACAGAAATGACGGTATTGTTTACGCGTTTTCTGTTTCATGCACATTAGTTTCACGCTGTTCAAAAACATGGATTGAGTATCAAGCAAAAACCTTGACTGTTTGTTTCATTGTTTACCGATAATGATTACATTTTTTTATATGTAACATATGGACCTGGTGATTATTAAAATTATAAGCTATATATTATTAATAAAATAACCCATTTTAATAACTTTGACGTGACTTGTGTTAGTAATAGTTAATAATCAAATCACATAATAATTCAGAGACGTTGTCCAGATCAGCAGCTATTTTATTGCAGATGATCAATAAAATAGCTGCTGATCTTTATAAATAGGATTTCTAATCACGCCGAATTATGTGTTTAAAACATACCAGTTTTGTTGCGTTATTTATTATTTACCATCTAATTGGGCATATAAATTTATTCACAAAATACATCCTTACTAAGTCAATACGATAAAGTCGAAAAAAATAAATAAGTAGCAGTAGTATAGATACACAATATTGCTACTGTGAACTCACTCTGCGAACATATAAAGATGTCGATAGTGTCGGAGACAACATTCAGTAACCGCAACGTCTTTGTTACCGGGGATCTGTGCAACAGTCTGGTTCAGGCCCTTGGTAATATACATTAGTGCCTGGGTTCGAACACACGGCTGGCTGGTAGACGCATAAGCCTTAAGTTATCAATTAGCATTACGTCACTGGAGATTCAAAAATGCAACCAATTTTCGGCATAATATCTAATGCTTGTTCCAGCGTTATTCAAAATGATGAAAGGCGAGCGTCTTGGAACGAGTTAATTGGCAAAACTTAATTAAAAACAAATTGAGAAATTCAATTATAAGAGATCCGAGCATTTGTTATTCAATATCGAGAATGAGATTCGTTGGAGTTTTTATTTTATTTATGGCTGTTTTCTGTGTACATTCACAGGTTGTATAATATTTTTATAGATTTTACTTATTAGTTATTTAACTTAATGGTATATGGAGCAGAGATAAATATGTCTGTTTCAAGGATATTTATTTTTAGGAATGTAAGTTCTGTGCCTGATTACAAAAGAATTTTCGTTTCGCTAGGAATAGGTACCTTCGCCGTGTACGCTTTAACTAAGAGGCCACGGCGGCATTTTATAAAATGCTTGATAGTACTTTATAGCTAATTTATTAATGCTATTAAACATTTAAACGCGTTTATTAATTGCATTTTTATAAATAATTAGTCGACCTGTGGACTTAGTGGAAGACCTTGAGCCCAAGTTGTTAAAGATAAAATAATTTTAAATTCAAATATAAAAGTGATTTGCGTCTAAAGACACAAAACGATGATGAAAACGACGAACGATGAGCAGTGTTGGCCAAGTGGCTTCAGCGTGCGACTCTCATCCCTGAGGTCGTAGGTTTGATCCCTGGCTGTGCACCAATGGACTTTCTTTCTGTGTGCGCATTTAACATTCGCTCGAACGGTGAAGGAAAACATCGTGAGGAGACCGGCTTGCCTTAGACCCAAAAAGTCGACGGCGTGTGTCAGAACCATGAGGCTGATCGCCTACTTGCCTATTAGATTAACAAATGATCATGAAACAGATACAAGAATCAGAGGCCCAGACCTTACAAGGGTTGCAGCGACACTGATTAATTCATTTCATAATAGTGATTTGTCAAATATTAAAGTAAATAACTAAATATGGAAATACAATATAAAATTTATCTAGATTTTGATCACATTTCAAACTATTGGACATTATGACTTTTATAAGGTCTGTGGGTCACGCACTTTAAATAAAATAATAGAATGGCTTAATAATTTTTCAGGTTCCATATGACTATCCACCCATAGGACGAGTAGCAAGGAGAGATGCGTTGAAACCTCATCCATCTGATGTAAACCTTATTTATGAGAGGTTGTTCCCTTCACGGCGCAAATATGCAGATTAAAGTTATTTCGCTACATTTTTTCGTTTTTTGTTGCTATAAAAATTTCACTGCGGCGTGATTTTTTTTGAAAAAGTATTATCATTTTAAGATTTTCCACTTTAAGTGCAAACTTAAACGTGTAAGACACTCGTGTGGAATACATATGTACTCGCTATATTTTAGTAATCGAAATTTAAAGATACCCATTTAAATTGTTACGTAGTTCACGCGCAATACTTCAAATCAAACAAAACAGTAAATAAGCTGTTATTTCCACAAAACCTGATATCAATGTTATAAACTCATTTAATTAGACATTGTTGGGCCTAATTTCAGATCTCAGATTTATGTACAGAAAATTTATAGCATAATCCATGACCATCCTGTTTAGTAAATCTTTATAGGAAAGGTGACTTCAATATCAATTTCAACACTTCTCGCACTAATCACCTTAAAAGTTATCTAAGTAACGGCCTCCCTATACATTTCTCATCCCATCCCATTTCTCTCCCCATTCCTCATCATCGTCGCGTGATTCGAAATTGAGAAAAAAACAAAACAAAATCGGACAAAAGCTCGTTGCACACTTTAATAAATAAAAATTTTAACCTACAAAGCCATCATTCAGTTTTGATCCAATAATGTATAGTGGGAGAACGGCGAAATTCGTTTAGTTATGGTCGCTGGCTGCCCTGAGTGTTGCTACCAGGTCATCGACGTCGATGTGTGCGGGGACGGGCGATGCCAATTCCGCATACTTGTTCGTATAGTCGTAGTAATCCTGGGCCTGTGGAGATATGAAATAAACTTTATTTCTATGCGTATATTTATTAAATAAAGTTTACGCATGCCAGTGCCACTAATCGGGCTTGGTTTTAGCCACAAAAATCTCTACCAGCTGGGACAGGACACCTGTACTGTGCCTGATTCTCGGCGTTCTTTTTTAGTTAGAATTTTTTTCCAGCTTATGAGCAAATATTGAATGTGCGCATAGAGAAAAATATTTGCATATAAATGCGCGATTAAAGGGATAGCACGCCCCTAGGTGGTCACAACACATTACTTAAAAAGAGATCTGCAAACTGTGTCAATAGGTACTCTTACTCTCAATAACTGATAATGAATGGTATCAAGTTTCGAGATCGTATATTTAGATAACTATATCGAAGCTACTAAAGTGGTAGATGTGGTAATAACAAGCACATGTTTTACAATAAGAAAGAGTCTTTTTATATTTTTCTGTATATATTTTTATTAGGCTTAGTGTTCTGTACATTCTAAATGCAATTGTTGTTTCTCGGAAATCAAACGATGGACTGTTTACACTGCTTGTAGCTACAATACGAAGGTGATGTGTAATTATTTTTCTAATAATATTAGAAAAATAATGTATAATTTGCACCCAATTGGTCATAGTTAATTTTCATTCTTTAATAATTTATATTTTATCTTACCATAGCAGAGATCAAAAGTGCCATCACAGCGCACAACAACACTAGCCACTTCATTTTGCCGTCAATGTGACCGATCCTGCGCTTGCGCAGATTTATATAACATCCTTGATACCCATGACTGTTCCACATAACAGAAGGAAATTAAAATTTACGGATATTTGGATAAGGGTGACATTATTCTGAGTCATTTGCTCACTGTAATTTTTTATGACAGTTTTTATTACCGTATTTATAAGTAATAGTGTATGATTTACATTATCGTTGTTCCACACATTATAACTAATTCTATAATAATATTTATTTATTTCGTATTCAGCTAACATATACTAATATATATTCAAAGATGTAACGTATAATATATACAAAAAGGTTCATACATTTACAAAAGATTATTAAATACATTTAACTAGGTACTACCTAATTCGGGTGTATTGTGTGATGGTGTGTAATAGTGGGTATGTACGTGATGGTGTGTGCTTTGGATATTCTTAATACTCCTTTTAACCATATTCCGCGATACCTTAAACAAGTCAAGACTAAAATAGTGGTCGTTGTTTTGTGCGATACAAAACAGTAAATAAAATAAAATTTTGTTATTACAACAAGCTTACCGACTTCTTAAGTGGAGAACGAGTTGGTGGAGGATGGAAGTGTGTTCCTCGTCAAGGTAGAATTCTCGACCAGTCCACTCAATAGACGACGTGTGATCAGTGGTTGATGTAAAGATGTTTTATTAAGCTGAAATACTTTGATAGGATGATTTAGTATGCAATATTATCGTTCATACAATGCAATGCGCGTTGAGAACTTGGAGAAACTGAACGTCGTAACACAGCAAAAGATCACGTGGCCTTTCACCAGACTCATCGTTCCCAAAACTGTACACTGTTATAAGAGAGGCGCTGGGTCTGGTACCGGTGGGAACAGATAGTCCGCTCCAGATGCTTCCTTGTTGACGACATGAGCTGCCGTTTAAAGGGAGATCATCGTTCTGATTGTAGCTGTAGATGTTGCTACAAGTTAAGTATGGAAAATATTTATATGGCCATAGGTCAGAATATGATAAATGCATAATTACTTTACAGGACAAACAATTAAATTATTAAGAAATCTTGAAGGCACCATTAAAATATGAAACTTATTAAAGTATGAATGAATGTACTTATACGTACATTGTCTGATCTATGATCACAGATTTATATAAAGTTGATATCACAAAGACACATATACGTCATATTAGTTTTGTGACCACACCCAATCGAAATCAGTTTCGTTACAATATATAAGATAAGTCATTTTAGTTTTTTGTGCTTGATATGTCCCGATAACTATTTATACCAATGACTCTACAACATTTTAAGTCTGGGCCTCAGATTTCTGTATCTGTTCTGATCATTTCTAATAGACAAGTCAATCAACCTTTTGTGCCTGATACACAGCGTCGACTTTTTGTGTCAACATGCCTTTTTTCCTCACGATGTTTTCATTCACTTCAGAAAGTTGGTGGTGCATAGCCGGGGATCGAAGACGACCCCAGGTATGTGAGTCGCACGTTGAAACCACTCAGCCAACATTGCTCAATCTCTAATGAACAAAAATATTTCTAGCAGCGTGATTTAAGCTATTTAAACAGCAGTAAAACCGCCGCTTTCTGTGATTTAAAATTAAAGTTGCAAATAAACATACATAGCACTTCTTATCTGCAGAAGTCAGGTTCGTAAAATCCCGAAAAGGGTTGAAAGGACGCATGTATATTACAGTAAAAAGCATTTGATAAATTCTTTATTTATACCAGCCAGGTCTCAATAATATAAACAATGATTTCTATAAGAGCCGACACAGCTAGAACGACACAAGTGACAACACGGCTATATGTCTTAAAGGAGGTTGTAGTTTCGTATGCTGGTGATGAGTCGTAAACGTCCCGACGCTGTCGTAGGGGAAATATTGCTCGAAGTGGACTGTCCTATAAAAATAACATTAAAGTATTATTAAAAAAAGGTGTGTGTACTTATCTACACGCGTTAGAAGTTATACTTCTTTAATACCAGCGCTATGACCACCAAAATACTTTTTTTCATTTCTTAATAAGACCCCTGAAGAACCGCCATACTGGTACAAATGACCCACTATTTTGTGTCACTATTTCCCGGCCTATAATTTTACCTAACGCGCCAAAAGAAGTATAACTTCAAAACCGTAAAGGTCAAACGTATTGGTATTGGTAGGCAAAATCCTAACAGTAGTCCGTGACCAACCAATAATTATTATGGAAATTGTCAGTTTGACGTAATGCAACCGTATAGTTTTTATTGTGAAAATTAAAAAAACATCATATTTATGAATATTGGAAATGAAAGTAAAATTTAATTTTGTATTACACTTACCAAAGACAATACGAACTCACTGACCTTATCAGAAATAAATTCTGGATTTAATTCCTGAGGCATAAGCGCTGATTGCATTTCGCCTTCATCTTGAATTTTCTGCTCCATTAAACACACGATACACTTAATTAAATTTCTTAATTAACTTATATATTGCTTTATTAATAATTATTTAATAAGAGAGCTTATAAATAGATAAAATAATCATCAAATAAATCATATAGAGAAAATATAAGCAAATAGGGGATCGACTGTCCCTGATATGTTATGATTTAAGACCAAAGTGGGTTTAAGTAACACTTTTCCTAAATAGTAGGAGCATGCGTGATGTGGGGTTCGAATTCGTTATAGTAGGAAGGATTATACTAAATGTGCTTCACCATAATAAATTGCATTCCTTCCAAATTACATAAAATACATTACACTATTTAATCGTTAATTTTATAATGTATACAGAGAAGCAAAAATATTTTTAAATATAACAAGTGTAAAAAAACGTAAAACGGCCATTGATTTCTTTTCAAAAAGGGAGCGTTCAAATATTACGTAACAAATTTGGGGGGTTCCTTTTGTAAAACACGAAACGTTTTACTATACTTGGGTACAGAAAAGCGTTACGGCGCGTTACATGGGGGGGCCAATAATTTCCAAAACCTGCGTTACGTAATACTTGAACGCTCCCAAAGGACCTCAGCGAAATCTGAGCCGATGTCTAAGTACTGAGTCTATCTAACTAGATTCTAGGCTTCAAATATTTGTTTATTTGTGTTAACAATTACTTCTAATAATTGACATAGTGGAATAACTACTAACACCATGATGCGCTTGCACATAAACGAAAACGCAGAAAAATATCACTTTAATCATATTTGTACACAATTGTGTTAACTTACGATCCGGTATGTTATAGTAATATAATTTGATATTATTAAAACATGAAAAAAATAAGAATGCTTGGAAGTTTGTTTGTGCTTTAAAACAAATTTAAACGATTTAATATTTGTATTGTTATTACATTAAAGTGTCTTATAACAAAATTGATCTATTTTGGTTCCGGTCCAACATATTTTAGTTTAAATAATATTCAGCCGTAAATCTTCTATATATAGCACACCAATATCGACTTAGTCAAGTCGGGATGCTACCCATCCAGTATCTTACCACGGCGTTTGTTACTTAACTTAATCAATCGATCTATCTGCGCCGCATCCAATTGGCTACGTAATCCTATTTATTGTACTACCAAGAAAATGTCACGATTCAGAGTTAGTCATGCTTTTATTGTAATAACATTTTATAGTTTAACGCAATATAGTGTTAAAAATGAATTCCATACTTCTTGTTATATTTATAACCATAACTTTTATTTCCGCATCTGAATCGAGGGTAAATTTGTATTATATTCTTACATACTAATAATAATTATAATAAAAAATTGAAAATTAAAGAAATTTAATAAGTTTGGTCATTGTGGCAGTGTACCTTTAATGCTGGCATTTCCTCGCTGTATTGCGATACTTATTCGTTGAGCGAGGAAAGCACCAGCTCTGGGGTCACCGGTACTATCTACCAGGCGCCATCTTAAATTAGCGCCTGGGCAGTTGAACCCCACGGTCCAACAGTCTCTACTCCAAAGCGAAGCGAATTATTAATATTATTACTGTGTTTACTTCATTATTTTAATCAAGGGTTGTTTCATTTATTATATTTTTTAAGACACAATGATGTACCTGAAACACGTGGTCCAGTTTCTTTCACCGTGCGAAGTTATAGACTCCACATAATTCCATTAGTGTACAGTCAAGGTTTGATAGCATGACACCCATTAGGAGTCACCTTCACCACTTCTGACAGTAGTGAAATGAGAAATCCTTAGTGATTAAGACTTAATGAAACTGAAACTGACTGAAATATTTTGTATTTTTCCTTTTGTAAATATTTTTGTGAAACTATTATTAGAATGTTTTTTTGTTAATTTATAAATATTATTATAGTTCTCAAACGGGAGACGACACCGACGTGATGTTGTAGGTGCCCTGGATATTGTTACAAACAATGTCCAACCCATTCATGCTGACGTTAAAAATGACCAGGCGCTTTCAGAAAAGGTGAGTTATCGTAATGTGGAAAGTTTAAAACTCAATAGAACTCACAAAAATAGATTCTGGTCTTGATTACATTGATTTCTTTATCTGCCCTTGTGTGCTTGAATCACGACGTGAAATTTTGGGATCTAAGTCACACGTTCTACGAAACGCGCTCTTTAGAACACTTCTTGCCATGCACCATTATGGAACCAGCTGTCATTCCTGGTATTTTCGAAATGTTACGACTTAGAGAAGAGTGTACCACTTTTAAGGCCGGCAACGCACTTGCAAACCTGGTGTTGCAGGTGTCCGTGGGCGGCGGTAAACACTTAACTTTAAGTGTTGCCCGTTTGCCTCCTGTCACATAAAATCATAATAATGATACGGTGCATGGTATGCATCTCATACCGTTGTCCCAAAAATGGACGTCTTATATTAAAGTCAAAGGAATATTAGTTTAGTTTTTCTTTTCCTACTATAAAGTTCACAAAAAAGAATGCTACTTTACATGATTAACAATCTAGCCTCTATAATAATTATGGCAAGTATCTAAGTTATATTATGTTGACTTAATTTTCTACATTACTAATGAATAGCTTAAACTAAGGTAATGTTCATTAACAGTCTTAGTGTTCTATAATGTTTTGACACTATGTTCGTGTGTCCGAGATACCTTGCACTTATATTCACTACACTAGGTTTATTAACTCAAAAGGTTTAGTTCTCTTTAGGTGTCTTATTCCTGTAGTATCAAGAAGTTTAATTGCCTCATCATTCACATGGCTATGTAGCCTGTTTAAGTGAGGTAAGGCAAACCGTTTCGCCGTATTTATGACTATTTCCACATTAAGATCCTTGTGGACATTTTATTACAGATAACTACATTAATAATAAAATGCACAAACGCTCTAAAGAACAAGCCCGTTCTAGTTATAGGAAATATTTGCGACTAGGAAATGCAGGACATGGTACTAAAAGCCATGTCTTTTCTTGCAGCCTTGCTTAAAATCGTTAAGAAATAACAGGCCAGCTAGAATAGAACCTGGCGTGGTTTTTAAGGTATAGTAAATATATGACGCAGATAGCCTTACCATTTTTTGATAAGTATTAAGAAAATTTGTAAAATGTTTACATAATTATTTTTATCGTTCGAAACATTGTTATATGCCTTGTATGCATATATCTCCGGTTATCTGAGCTAACTGTAGGCCGTCAAAAGTACAAATTTTATCACGCAACGTGTAAATAACACCTTATTTTTTTAACAAAACAAATCTTTAAACACGTTCATTGCCTTTGTATGATCAGGTTTTCACCGTTGTTTATAATATGAAAATCTTTCAGGTAACGCCTCCCAAAGACACATTCTCACTGCGCAGGAATTTCCCGCTATCAAGCACATTGGACTTATTCCGAGCCATCAGTAGATTGATCACTGTCACTGTGTTAGCTGTCAGTGCCGGCATCGAATTCTACCCAGTTCTACAAGGCTTCTACGAAACCATACATGAACTAATTTATTTTAATAAATATTAATCCCAAATCCAACAAAAGCTGTTTTTGGAAAGAATATCTTGTATTAGAATAAATATTTTGCCTCACATGTCTAAACAAGATGACGGTTCAAAAAATTCCTATACTCATGATAAATTTACACTTTCTGTTATTTATCTTATAATTTTGATCATAATACTTTAAAAACTAAGATTTCCTAAGCATTTTTGTAGCATAAAAGGCATATATACGCCAGTCCTCATATAAAAACAAAACGGTACCGTGAAAAATCAATTTAAATCGAAATCAAAATTTTATAAACATTTAATTAAAATGCGTTAGTTTTCTTTAGTTTTCACAGAGATGTGTTTCATTAAATCACCTTGATGGAGTATAAATATGGAAATATTAAAAAAATCTGTGTTGCTGTTTCTGTTTCTTTATTTAGCTGAAGCGGTAAGTAATCATATTTTTGTTAATAATAATACAAATATTAAAGTCTGTTTTAAATAATATAACTTTTACTTTGTATTCTAACCACCTTAATCTATTCTATTCTTAGAAATAATGAAAAAATAACTTTCAGTTAAAAATAAAGAAACAAAACCAAACAACACCCATAGTTAATCCGAAAATAGATAAATTTATTGAAGACGATATGGAAATAAAATTGAATTTAAATAATCATAATAATGATGAAGATTTAAGAGAGCAATTAGAAAAGAAAATAGTAAAAGAAAATTCCACAGTCACAAATCTTGATTTGACGAAAAAACTAAATAAATCAGTAACTCCTAGGAATTCAGTAGACAAAAGCGCTTCACAAGCTATATACCTCCCGATAGATTTGCTCTTAAAACATCCAAAATTAAATGGAACTAATAACACTAATTCGAACTCAAAAAGTCGACGGAATCTGACAAACACCAACAATCCTATTGTAAACTACTTAAAGCCCAAAATAGATTTTTGTGAAGATACAATGGAAGCTGTAGATGAAAGCATAGCTGACTTTTATAGTGCTATTAAAACGAATAATAGAACAAATGAAACTTTTGTAAAACTCGGCGACTTTAAAGTTGTAGATGATTATGTAAATATAAAAATGAGTAGTCCAGAAAGTTCAGAAGTTACTAATATTGATGCGCGGAATTCTTTACCCGATACCAGTAGTGATCAAAATATGAATTCTTCAGCAAATGTTGAAACGCAAAGAAATTTGATAAAAACACCAACTACAACTATAGAAATTGTAATAAAATGCGAACCATCCACTCCAAATGAAGCGTTACGTAAGTCAAGGTTATAAAAATAAAAATGCCTTTTTCTATAATAGACAAAGAGAATTTTGTTTTAATAAAAAATATTTTTTAAGCTAAATAATTACTAATTATATAACTTAAATATCCTGTTTTTACTCATCCTCCTAAAGGTTTTTAATATTAGCTTACTTCTCTTATTTTTTATCATTATTTACAGGTTCTAATTCATCCATTGTTATTCACAATACAACCTACCAAGAAATAACACAACCTGCCTTTTGTCCCATTCCGTACACATATAGCTATACGCCTCGTTGGCCTTATAGATCGTGGTACGGAACGTACCCTTACAATTTCTATAAATATCCATACACAAAACAAATTGGCCAGTGTAATTTTTATAGTACTCAATATTCTATGCCATACTCAGCTCCAAATATTGTGAGGAAAACTTGGAACAACGTGGATTTAAGTATAACAAATCCTAATTATATGACATTTAATAGTGAAGAAACTAAAGATTCTACTATGCCCGAATATGATGATAATATGTATGAAATTTATGATCAAAATGTTATTTAACGTAAGATTTCATTCATATAATGAATAATCTACAAATATATTGTAAATTTACATGAATTTACACTTTATTTAATTAAAATATTATCAATTTGTTCGTTTTATTACACATCCAATCGTATAATTTGTTTTTCGTATTTTTACTTGGTGATATCTTTCTTTCCTTCCCATTGCTCTACAAATACTTGTATGGACATGGACATTTTGTCCCATTAGTTTTGTCTAAATAACTATGTACGTATTTCTTTTGTCTTATGTATTTCTGCACTTTTTTCTCACAGTACTTGCCCGGAAGAGATCGCTCGAAGCGATAAGGGCGCCAGTCCATTTGATTTAATTATAATGTCATTATTATTAGATGTAATTATTATGTCAATTGAATTATATTTCTGCAACGAAGTGTTAATAAATAAATAAAAACATAAAACTTGTACACAAAGGAACAACAACAAAGGATAGTTCTTTATAATAGCGTAAATATTTTAACATAAACGTTAAGAGATAGATAATATCATACATCATTAAATGTCGACGACAAAACGCTTGTTGCAAATAATAGCCTAGAATTATTCACATTAAAACACACGGTCTGAATTGGAAATTGAAATTCATGAGTCGTGCAGGCCATCGGAAGTTCATAATAGGATTTGTGGTATGGGCTCTTGTGATGCTGAAAATTTAATTTTTAATTCCATTAAAACGTTCGCACACATTAAAAAAAATACTGTTTTTAATTTTGATAAATACGGAAGCTGTTTTGAGAGTATAAAGAATATTCTGAGATAGTCATACTATCCAGATATAAACTTACAAAACGCATAAAAATTATGCTAGTCGATTCTACAAAGGCCCTACTACATATTTTGGCATAACGCTGAGCTCAAATAGAGAGTGTATAAATAAAATAAAAAAGCCTTTTTATTTCTTGCAAAAGAACAAAGTAAACTTAATACTATTTTTACAAATATATTTTTAAGAAAGTAAATTAAACAATTATTATTATTATTTTTTTTCTAATTTTTGTATCTATTTCCCAATTATTATTTTGCAAGAACCCTTCCGCAGGTGTAGGCCTCCTCCAGGAATCTCCATGTATCTCGATTTTTGGGTGAGCTGCATCCAGCTCGAGCCAGCCGTTTGAGCAATGTCGTCCGCCCATCTCGTGAGCGGTCTTCCTCTGTTTCGTTTCCCAATAGGGCCACCCCACCTGGTCACCCTTATGGTAGAGAGTGTATACGCACACATTATTATTATTTATTTATTACAGAAATACATACATAAGGTCTGTAAGGATAATGTATGTATTTCTGTAATAAATAATAAAATAATAAATATAAATATTGTTATATGAATTTATTTTTTGTAATAACGATTTTTAAAATAAAATTGAACGCAAGTAAATGTAATTTTAGGTACAATATAACATTGATTTCATAACCCTTTGAACTGTGAACACCTATTAAACTATATGAATATAGTTGAATATTTAATGTTATCGCTATTGCTTTCATTAATTATTATTTTGTAATTTGAAGTTTACAATAGCCTGTCTGTGGTGAACCTAATGGTTATTAGCTAATTTTCTAGAGTGCCGTTTGGATGCGGTAGAGTTTGTGGTAATGCCTGAATATTCAAATAGCTAAAGTTAAATATAGACTTATGTGTTAATTACTTTTACCTAATGTGTGCTGATACTGTCACGGTCTTATAAATTTGATATAGACCTCAAATAGCTATTGATTGGTTATTGAAGTTCCTATGCATAAGTGGTATCGTATCATCCTAAGATTTTAAGTTCGATTGTCAGTGAAAGAAATATTGTTTAGGAATAGAAACTTGTAATATATATATCATATTAATATACATATCATAGCAAATTGTTTAAAACCTTAAACACATTCAGATATTTGTTTTACATTGCGGGGTTACACACAAGTGTTTTATCTATTTTACAGTTAAATTTGTAAAATGATATGTATATAGTATTTATTGCTTTCTGAAACGACCAGCGAAACATGTGCTTGTGCTTTACCATATATTGTTTATATGTTCTAATTAATAGTCTTAAGAATACATATATATAATGGAAACAAACACCGAATACAACATATCATACTCAACTCAAACCTACATATATAATGTAATAAACAAAAATCAAATAATGATTTTTAGCGATGAAATGGGCAAAAACATATCTCATAAGTTATACCAAAATTTAGGTTCTCAGGTCATAAATTGTTGTATGCCTGGAGCTTCCTATAAACAAATATTAGATGAAATAGTAAGTAATAGTTATTGCCCATCCACAACTATTGTACTTTTAATTGGGAGAAGAGGTAATGTAACAGTTAATATGTTAATCAGTTATTTTGAAAAGTTATCAAAACTTAATGTAAATAAAGTTGTCTTATTTGCTTTTCCTTATGGAAAAGGTATGTCACAGACCGAAAACAATGCTAGGTACAGATGCAATAATAAAATTCATACAATGACACTGTATAATAAACAATTTGAATTTATTGACACTAATGTCATCATTAGTTATAATTACTTTTTGACAAAACATAACAATTATCTTTGTAATTATTATATTGGACAAGTAGCAAATTCGCTATCATATTGTATTTTGAACGCAGCCAAATGTTTGGCTAACCAATCTGCTCCTATTGAGCAGGTAGATAATAGTACCTTTATTCAAGATACCTTGGAATTTGTTCCAAGTAATTTAAATTAGATTTTAAGACAATAGAGGTGATCTCTGGCAATAGTTCTAGTCATAGTTGTTTATTAGGAGATCCATCAAATTCCTTAAATGTCAATAATAAAATCAATAATAAGCATATTTTAAATTTAGTACATCAGAATATTGTAAAGAATTGGAGTTGGAGTTGTTCATGAACTGTAATAACATTGATATCTTATGTATTACTGAACATTGGTTAAAGGACCACCAGTTCATGTTCAGCTTCAACAATCATCTGGTAGCCAGCTCGTTCAGCAGAGTTAATTTAATACGTGGAGGCTCTTTAATTATTGCTCGGAATAATCTTAAATTTAAAGAACGTACAGACATAGTGAGCCTGTCTGTTGAGCGAGTTGCTGAGATAGCATGTATTGAGCTTGAGCAGTTCATTTTATTGAGTGTATACAGGCCCCCATGTGCTTTATATGATACTTTTGAAAAAATCCTAGAAGATGTATTAATAAAAATATCTAATACTAATAAAACAGTTGCCGTCTGTGGAGACTTTAACATTAACTTATTAGATAAATCTAGTATTGTTAATAGATTTTTAATCTTATTGAAATCATATAATTTATATAATATTTTCCTTGAGCCAACTAGAATAACTGCCACCAGTGCCACTTGTATTGACAATGTTTTTACAAATGTGAAGCCAACTTTCTATTCAATTATTAATCTGTTAGATTCAGATCACTGTGGCCAGTTGGTTTCATTTACTAAAGACATTGTTAAAGCAAATCGAAAAAATGTTAATTTTGTTCCAGTAACCAGTTATCGTTTAGAACTTTTTAAAAATAATTTAAATGAAAAACTGCCTGGTTTGCCTTATCACAATAACCCTGACCAAGCTTACTCTTCATTATTTAACATGATTAATTCTCAGTTTAAGAAGGTTTTTACATCTAGATCAGTTTCTGTAAGTGATCGAGTTTTGTTTAGTGACTGGGCAACACCAGGTATTTTTAAAAGCAGAATAAGATTATTTGAATTATATAATGAAAGTAACCATGATCATAGTGAAAGGTTTAGGGAGTATGTTAAAAATTACTCTAAGACTTTTAAGAGAGCCTGCGCTGCCGCAAAATCTTTACACATTAAAAACAAAATACAATCTTCTGCAAACAAAATTAAAACTACTTGGAATATTATTAATTCTGAAATAGGAAGAACCACAGTTAAGAATAATGATTTTCATCTTAAAATTAATGATATAGATGTTAGGGCGGATTTGGAGGTGGCAACCGAGTTTGAATCTTTTTTCACTAATATTCCTGTATTAACAACTCAAACTTTGTTGTCGTCTTCCGGCTCAGCATACAACATACTTAAAGACTGTGTCGCAGAATGTGGGACAAGTTTTGAATTTACAGTTGTTAGTGCTAAGGACATTCTAGATGCATTTAAAGATTTAGAAGTAAAAAAGTCCACCGATCTTTGGGGGTTGTCAGTTCAAATAATATCCTCAATAATTGAATGTATTTCCCCATTTCTGGCAATTGTGTTCAACTCTTGTGTCGCATCTGGTGTGTTTCCGGACTTAATGAAGTTAAGCAAGGTGATTCCACTCTTCAAATCTGGTAGTACAACCGATCCTACGAATTTTCGCCCTATCTCAATTTTGCCTACACTGAGCAAAATTTTTGAGAAAATAATTTTAAAGCAAATGCTAAAGCATTTTAACAGACAGAATCTTTTTCATTCCAAACAATTTGGATTTACTAAGGGTCGGTCTACTGCTGATGCAGGTGTGGAACTACTCAAAAATGTATTCGAGGCTTGGGAGAATTCACAGGATGCTTTAGGCATATTCTGTGACTTGTCCAAAGCTTTTGACTGTGTTTGCCATGACACACATATCAAGAAACTACACCACTATGGCATTAGAAATAAGGCTCTTAGACTTCTCAGTTCATATTTAGACAATAGAATACAAAGTGTAGATATTAATGGCAAAAAATCAAAAGGATCTGTGGTAACTATGGGTGTTCCGCAGGGTTCAATTCTAGGTCCTTTCTTATTCCTTATCTATATCAATGATTTACCTTTTTGTGTAAGGGATGATCACAAAATCCTATTATTTGCGGATGACACTTCGCTTGTTTTTAAAGTTAAGCGTCAACTTGAAAATTTTGACCAAGTTAATTTGGCACTATCTAAGGTTGTCCATTGGTTTATGTTAATAATCTGCTTTTGAACTCAAGTAAAACTAAATTAATAAAATTTTCTACGCCTAATGTGAGGCAGTTAAGCACCAATG